AGTTTTTCTGTCTCCCAGTTTGTCTGTTTTTGTTTTTGTTTTTGTTTTTGTTTTTGTTTTTGTTTTTGTTTTTGTTTTTGTTTTTGTTTTTTGTTTCTTTTCAATTCCTGGACAGATGAAAAAAAAACTGAAGTATGGGGCCTACAGGGTGGCATCACACATAAGTATTTATTTACAGCACAAATGCTGCAAGTATCATCTGCACATGTGACTCCTCTGTCATGATGTTTTTCTCAAGGCTACTGTGTGTTTTTACATATGTCTCTCTCAGCTTTAGATGTGCACCAAACTTGCTGAGGGCTATTTACCTGATGACCCTGAAGGCACGTATGGAGGGACAATACCAGAAAACATTGAGTCTTTATGAACCATCTCAGAAGACAGGAGCAGAAAGTATTAAATATTGCAAGTATAATGTGACTAAATAAGACTAGGAGTGAGCCTTTTGGCAAATTAAATGATACATTTTTAACTGTTTTATAATGTAGATTATTATTGAATGCAATGTTTGTGCATGTCTGTGTGGGGCACGCAATCTCTACACCTTATGTGTGTTTGTGCTTACATGTAGATGAAGAAAAAGAGGCATACAACAGAGCGCTGCAATTCTGAATATTGTACTAGAGTATGCATGTGTATGCCTTCATATCATGCAATAGCTAGTTAAGACTAACAATAATTTAACCACCCTGCACACACTTCCCTTCTGAACAATGCCGAGCCTTGTCAACGTGCTTACAGGGCTATAGAGGACATACGTTCTCCTCAATCAAAGCAGGCTGCGACAGCCAAGCAGCCAAAATGTGTGTGTGTGTCTGTGTGTGTGTGTGTGTGTATTATGGTGATGAGCTGTCAGAATGTGTTCTGCCGACTACACCTCAGTGTTTATGCAATGCTGATAGTCTCCAGGAAAACATGGGGGAAAGAGTGCTGCTTGATATTTACACACAGCAGCCATACCGTCTGGCAATGATGATGGCTCCCTCATGGCCTGAAAAGACAGCAATAAACCCAGAGAAAGTACGAGCGAGACAGAGTGAGAAATAGACTGGGATATGTAGTGCAGTCGAAGGAGTCAAAACATGGCAGATTTGATGAGATACAGGGATTTGCAAAGGAAGATGGAGAGGAAAGTAGACAAATGACTGCAGTACTAAACTGAAATGACAGTTCCATCAGCTGAGCAGGTGTTTTTGTTTCAGTGGTCCTCACATGTTTTTAGATTTCAAACTACAAATCACATATTTATACATTAGCGCTGAACATTTTTTGTAGCATATTATGAGATGTAAATGGATTTTCTACCCAATGCCTTTTGCTGTAATGTTGTTGATGCTGTAACCGTGCTGCCATTTATTCTCTGGATAGGATCAGAATAAATAGACAAAGCACACTGCGGCAAATCTCACAAGAACATGGCAAAGATATAACCAATAAAAAACCAAATATGACCCTTGTTAGAAGCTGAATATGCTCGTCGGCAGTGGTGGGCCAGCAGAGCCAAACATGGCAGTAGTATTAGCAAATCCCTTAAATTCAGGGTCTGTCCTGTCTCATGATTTCATGCTGCCTGTCTTTCCTCTGCTGAAAGTCTCTCCTGCATCTTGTTGCTCTCTGCTTGGACATCTTCACCTTCCTGCACTCCTTCCTGGCTAAAGAAGTATTCTGATAATTCCTTTGAACTGACAGTAAACATATCAAATCTGCAGTATGGAGGAAAAATCGCTAAAAATCACTTTTATGGTGATGTTCAAAATATTTTGCATTAACTGACATTGACAATGCAGAATCCTGTATTTTTTGGCTCAACATTGTTAACCTTTCCTGGATTATTGTCGCGATTGTAGCTAGTTGGGAAGCACAGGGGAAACGCAGGAACTTGGATCTCGAGGAATTGTAGCATTCATTTACTGGCACACAGGCTAAAGTTACACTGCTAAGTTCACAGCTATACTGCCAACTTCTAACTCTCTGCTCCGGTCACCAGCCTCACCGCTCTCTCTCTCTCCCCTGCCTGCTACACACACAACCTATGTACTGAGCTATTTCTGAGAGGAGCTGCGCTACTTGTGTAACAATTTGCTGTCGAAACTTCTCATCTCTTGCACAGAGATGATAAATTACAGTGTAATTTGCTCATTTAACTTGCTACTGCTGCCACTTAGGAAGAAATTTCTTGTCTAATGTAAAGGTTTAGTTACACACACGTGTGTACGTGTATAATGCATGCAACATCATCTCAGAACAGTGGAAGCTGAGTCTTGACAAGCACACTTTGGCTATAGCTAGTCACCCGTCAACGATCCCAGGATTATCCTCAATACACAAACATCCAAACAATGCTGCTCCCCTCTCCGCTTAACAAGATCCAGCCTTTGTCAATGGGACATGGTCATGCCCACAAAAATGACAGAAAGCATAGATACAACAGCTGGTAGCTAGCTTCCTGAAACAATAGCCTAGTGCTGCCACAAGAGGGCAGTAAATTACATGACGGATGGAAATGGGCACTATTCTGAGATAAGCTGTAAGGATAGATATCTCTACCACCATTGTTACGAATTATGTCTATTTTTTAGCTTTAAAGGCTTGCCTTGCTTGTCCTGTTGTTACACCACTGCTAGTCAGTCATATGCTTAGCTGATTAAGGGTGGCTCATACTCACCACAGTACAAAAGACATAGCTTTTATCACAATAGCCAGCTAGCTTGAGTGCACTATTTCAGGTTACACATTTCAATAAGTCACTAAGAGGTGCTGAGCTAAACAACCTACCTTATGCAATTCTGCCATTAACCAGCAAAGTTTCACAGCTACCATGCAGCCACACAGGTGAGTCACTAAACTTACAATATTGGGTACTGTATAGAATCTGTTCTTAAAGTTTGTGCCTTGACACGTAGGGCCACACTGAAAATTGGGGCCCTCGAACTTCACTGAAACTATTAAACCTACAGTACCTGCCACCCCTGCTCTTAGTCACAATAGCTCCTGGTTTCATCAGTCTTAACAACACAGAACTCAGTAAATATTTCCTTCAGAAGCCATCGGACATCAGACTGGACAGCAGCAGTCCAGAAAGTTGGGCCTAATAATCTCGCAGTGTTGTGAAGAAGGCTGATGTCACCCTCTCACCAGCCATCTGTCACACTGGTGGTCGAGCCTCAGCTGGAAGCAGACTGGTGTGATCCAGACTGGCCTGGCCGAGGCAAAGCCCGACTACTGGGTATTTAGCACAGCGTCTCGCTCCACTCCTGCAGTGCCAGCAGTACTGCCTGCTACAACCCAGCACCATGGATCCTTTTGCTGTCCGAGTCTGGGTCTGGCTTCAGTGACGGCAGGTAACTGGGCAGCAGATGGCCGAGGAGACCACCACCCACACAAGACCTGTACATGCATGCACAATGTTTTTTACAGAGAAGCTACACTAAGCATCACCATATGGTCTGCATCTTTTACACAGTTGTACAACAATTCACTGCATGTTTTCACACACCCACAGTACCGTGAGCTATCACCTTTTTTATGCATTCATTTTAACTGGCTATATTTAGAAATTTAGTTAACTTGGTTCATTATTATCAGCATGATAACAGCAACAAGACCCACCGCTTGTCCCCACTTTCATTCACACCTATTAGCCAATAAGCTAGCGAGAAACAGCACCCCACTGGCTGCAGGTTATTTAAGTCCTGTGGAGGGAACAGCAACAAAACACGGCAGTTACACCATGACAGCCATTTAATGAGCACTACTATACTTTAAGGACCAGGTCCTAATTTTAGCCAAGAAGTCACTTCTGTGCCAGCTGAGCTAACAGAGATGAGAATGACCACGGTGTGGGACGTTTTATACTCTTTAATGTAGATAAATCAAACGAAAAGAGTTAATTGTGGTTACTTTTCAAGCTCAGTGTGATCCCACAGTTGCAGCACTTACGCTCAATGATGAATTCAACATTCAAAATCAGTGTCTTTGAAATGATCACAGTCTCACAATTGGGTTACAAAAGAACTGTTAAATTGTATTGAGTATATATTTTATTTGTTTGAATAAGACATTTAAGGTTAGAATACACACTACAACTTACTCATCATTCTGCACTTGTATGCACCGTTTCTGCAGTTAGTCATGGGATTTTTTAATTTAGTAACATGCATGGTTCTTGTTATTTGCTTTACAAGGAGCTATTTTTATGTTGCTGTCAGCTTTGCTTTGTTAGACAAATTCTCCTATTCAGAAGTATTGACAGCCTTGACGTACTTAATCCTTAAATATAGTATATTTTAGTAACGTGTTTTGCTTATAGTTACTTCACTTGGATGTTTGACCTTCATCATCATGTATGTGCATGAGTTTGTTTTGACATTTATATGCTGAAGTTTCTCTGTGCTCACCTTAAATCTGACCGGACAGTTAACTCAAACAAGCAGGACTTTCTGACATCACAAAGTTTAGAAACCAATCATGGTCCAATATGCAACTTACATGGTTGCATATGCAAGTGTGGTCCAAACACGGTCCAATATGCAAGTGTGATTCGGAAACCTAAAACCTCCAGCGTATATACATACGCTGAATGAAGTCTTCAGTGAAGTAGTAGACATCTCAAGTACAACAGTTAAATGTTTGAAAATGAAAAAATTGGCATATTCATAGATTTGGAAGGAGTAGATATATGTTTTGGAATTCTTAACAAGATAATTGAATAATAATTTGAACTTAGAATTTTGAACTTGGAAATACTCTAGTATAGTACTTCAGTAATGTACGTAGACATATTCAAACCTTCAGTGGTGAAATGTAACTGTTTATTTATTGAAACATTAAACCTAAAAATGACCTGCCAAAGACTTGAACAATGATTCAGATTTAGGTTCATGTCATAATCATAATTTCTTCAATTACAATTTTACTTCAGCTGTAAAAATCAATGTTTTACTGGTGTTTTTACATTGATCCATGATGTGCAGGAATGCAAGACATGAAACAACAATACATTAGAAGAAGCAATATGTATCTTTATTATGTGCTATGTACATATTTTACAGTATGATACAGCAACAATACATGGTAATGCTACACAGTCAGGATTGCACGGTTTTAGAGTTAGGCCACAGCGGTTGGGTACCGTGGTTATGAGACATAACGCTGAGTGTACAGTAAGTACAGCAAACATCTTTGGCTTCAGTGGGATAACAAAACATGGTCATGGAGCATGAACACAAACTTCAGACAACAAGGGGGCAGGATGGTGGATGACAGGTTCTAATGGATTTTCAGCCCAGAAAGAAAGACATATTATATGATTTTTTTTTATTCATGTATTGGTGGCTGGGATGTTTCTGTTCAGGTTCATACAGAACTTTCCTCGTGTTGGTTCAGGAGATTGCATCCCAAAACCCCTGCTGGGCTAAGACTTTCCCAGCCCTGAATCCTGTCAAACGCTTTTCCCCACTTACACAGTGTGTGCCTACGCATGTGGACATAATCTGTGCACACACTGTATATGAGGAGATAACAGTGGTGTGAGCGATTTCTAATTCATCCTCTAATTGGCATCATTTCTCTCAGTCTATTAATTTGTGGTAAAATTAAACTAGTCCTCATTTTGCTGTGGTTGTTTATAGAGTTTCAGACCGCCTCTCTCCCTCCTCTCCTTATAATACTGAATTTTCCATTCTCCTCCCGCCAACATACAGCAGCGGCTTTTTTAGCCTACAGAGCAACGGCATGAGGGACAGAATACAGAGAGAAACGGAGAAGACAGAGATTGGATGAAAGATAGATGGGGAAAGGGAGCAGTAAAGAGAGAGAGAGAGAAGTGACATGGTGAGATAGAGCGAGAGAGAGGGGAGCTGACAGAGAGATGGATGCAGCCGGGTCGTTGAGGTGAGGAGATGGTGTAATGATTAGATCACAGATACCCTTGAGCCTTCCTCCCGTCCCTCCTGCACACAAAAATCTGGAAGCTCAGTCGGAGGGGAGGAAGGCCTGCAGTTGTAAATGGCCCTGCTGTCAGAGTTCATCTGGGCGGAGGAGGGAGTGCGGGAGTGGATTACCGGAGTCTGCGATTAAAGAAGCCTACTCTGCCTCTCCAGTTCTCCCAGGACTTGTGCTGGATCGCATTTGTGCCACTGCTGCGCTGCAGCTCGCTCTAAGATCTCCTAAAGATGTTATAAATGTATTGTCTGACTGTTCAGAGACTGCAGACATTTCAGGAAGCAGGAGGGGAGGGGAATCATCATCATCATCATCATCATCATCATCATCAGGGTTCCAACTGGACATGAGGGTTCTGGAATATCAGTTAATTTTCAAAGGAAGTCAGGATAGACATTGTGGCCATATATTATCTTAAAAAAATGTCATATTAATTTTCTCAGATGTTTTTCCATCTACCTACTGTTTAAGCCTGGATTTTGTGTACTTTGATACCTTGGATTTGTGTTTAAGGCTTCTTCGTATCCTCACAGCAACAAGTCTGAGGCTTATGCTAACTACATATTGTTCACCTCCTAATCAGATGATGTCATCTCTAAACTTCAGCATGTTGAAGGTGACTGCTTGGGGAGGAGGAGATGTGTTTAGGATGCTTCCATCTAGTGGTCACTTAATGACACTGTTGATGGAACGAAATAGGAAAACGGAGACGATATAATGCAAAAACACATTAATATGACCCTTTCTAACAAATTTCTTCAGTCCAATAGTTAAACAATATGGCTGAGAACAAAAATAATTTGTCATATATATACCTTAAAGGCATGGAGTGTCAGGTCTGGCAGGGGGTTACTCATGATTTTCAAACTTAATGGCTCCATTAAGTCCATACAAAAGCATATCTTTACAATAGATTCTTACTGAGATTCACAAAATATATTTCTGGCACAATACCCATTGAAGACATGGCAGGGGGAGATGATGGATTTGGAAGGAAACACTGTCCTGTGTTCTTTTACCAGAGGCAGGGTCCCCCAGTTAGTTACACAAAGGCTTTTGTAGTATTTAAACTTCAATTGAACACATTACTACACTGTATTCTCACTTATGTGCTAAACTAGGGACCGCATCCTCATAGTAAACTGCCTCAGTGACAGATATTGTATTTTATGTACATTGCATTTTAAATCATTACATAGTTTCCCATGAAAAGTTAAGAAATGGGTGATTTTTAAAATGTCATGCGTAGGTGTGCTGAAGTATCTGAGGAGGAGCAGAACAACTTCAAACTGAAGAAATTACAGCACTAGTTGAAAGTGGTGTTTTGACCATCTTCATAGAAAGGACTGTGTGTATGTGACATTGGGACATGTGGAGAGCCCTGTGACTGCTGCCTTCTGACCACAGTGTGAACAGAAATCACCATCTCCAAATTCAATACTAAATTCAATATGTACATATTTTTAAAAAGGAGTGTGGTTTATAGTTTTTTTTAACTGCAAAGAAACTCTGTGGCTGAGGTTTAAACATTGCTGTACAAACTGTTAGGGAGTCTTCAGTCTCACCTCCAGACATGATTTGATCACTACTTAGGATGTGTGTACTCTGCTGTCTTATTCTGTCTGACTATATATTGGTGTGTGTTGCACAGCATATTTTCCTGTAAAGGTATTTATTCCCTCAAATGTGGGAAAATCCTCTTTCACTGTGGATTAAGGATACAGTGTGTATAATGCATACGGGGGGTGAGGGTGGAGTACAGAGAAGGAGAGGGGGTGAGAGTTATGACAGTGAGCTGGAAGATGTGAGAAGTGGTTTCTGAAAACTGATAGAGTTCTTTTGGATTGAAGTTCTGAATTCTTGAATACCTTTTCAATATTTGATGTTTTTCTTGCCAAAACAAATCTTGCAAATTGCAAGTGTTCAGTGTTTCTGCCAAAACTGTGTTCTTGAGAGGAAAAATGACTGAAATAGCAGTTAAGGCAGGAGACACTAAGTCTCCACTAACCCCCAGGAAGATGATGTTAAAACATTTTGATGCATAATCTGGTGAAAATGTTTGCTAAAGTACAAATCTCGGTGTACTGTATATCCTCTCATAGACAGCCAGTGCATCATATCTGCAGGTAATGAAACTGAAAAATACAACTTATGCTGAAAAAAGCTAAGAAAGCAAGATGGACAATGGAGAAAAAGGAGAGAAAAAAAAGAATAAAGTTTGGTTGCTTTTCTTTTCTTGCATTTTATGTTACTGGGGCAGGTGGCTTGTTCCCCGACACTAATGCCTCCACTAAGATAAACCCTCAGCGAATGGGCTCATGTTGACAGAGCTGCCACGGATAAGAGCAGAGGATCGCTAACAGCCAAGACAACTAAAAACATGAGAGGCTGCGCTGCAGATAAAGAATGTAGAAGGTGGGAGGAAAATAGGAACAACAGCGATCAATTGCTGGCAGTGTGCAGTGATGCTATCTGACGCCATCCCTCTCTTACATCTCCTGTAAGAGCGTGCGTGTGTGTCTTTGTGCAAGTGTGTGTGTGAGTCTGTGGTGATCATAATCTGAAGGGGAGGAGACGTGGGTGGTGTGCATGTGTGAATCTGGGTCATCAAGTCATCAATAACCACCTGCATTAGTGGAACATACACACAGGCAAGGTCAAAACTAACTGAGATCCTTTCAGAGTGAGAAGGGGATGAAAGAAAAGCTTTACAGTGTGAGTCTTTTCAAGCTCAGATGGCTCTATTTCCACAGGGGTATGGATGGATGGATGGATGGATGGATGGATGGATGGATGGATGGATGGATGGGAGACTGGCATTTGAGTATCTACTTTTGACAGGCTGGCGACGGCCGACTTGGCAAGCAGAAACAGGTGGGAGTTGGGGGCTGGCTCGGGCATAGAAAAGTAGGGAGCGCAGGGTGAATTATGGATGGACAGATGAAGTCGGGGAGGGAGGAAGGGGTTGTCTGGCGAGGGCTTGTGTCCCGCTGACAGGCAAGCTGCTAGTTGGTGGAGTCACTTAGCCTCACAGAGTTGACCTGAAATGATCAGGCGTCTTTGCATCTGCAGCATAGTGCACCCTTTTCTCTCCCAAAGGCCTCTGGGATGGTTGTACGCAGCAGAGCTCCGTGGAGGAGAATGAAACCGTAACACTGGAGCAAGCAGCAGTGCAGACGCTCACTCTGTTCGTCACTAATATGTGTTCAGTTTGCTTACTCCACTGCTTCCATTCTTCTTTTATCTTACTCCAATTCCCATGGCTGACCTTTCACTCCTCACCCTCCTCTACATATGTGGATGGAAACCAGCCCACCTGAGGGGAGAGGATGGGAATAAGTAAATGAGTTTGACTGAACATCACTTGTAATTTATTATGTACCCACTTTACCCACTTCCCATAGGCTCTTTTGCTTTTTCTAATTGGGGATTTCCTACATGTACCAGAATACCTTTCAGCAGCAGTTTACTGTATGTATAACCTTTCAGTATATTTTTAACACAATGTAACACAATAAAAGCTGCGACAAAACATTTCAACTTCAGGTTAACAATAATAGACAGTTTTGAGTTGATTTGTTTTACAGGCTTCCATCACAATTCCCTTAGCAAGCTGAAAAAATGTCTCTGAGCCCACACCTAGAAATTTTCCTGCACATAAACCGCAACCAAAAAATAGTTTTTGTTACCTCTGGACAGTCTTTAGTCTTTATGCTAACCTAAGCTAACCATTTGCTGTGACCAGCTTCATATTGAATGGCCAGATGTGAGAGTGGTATTTATCTTTTCATGAATCTATTCCTTTAACTGTGAGATAGATAGAATTAAAAATGATAGTTAAAAAAAATTTTAACTTGAAAAAATTGTCATTTCCAACAAGTGGGATGTTTTTTTTTTGGGCTTTTTATGCCTTTATTGATAGTGCAGTAGAGAGAGACAGGAAATGGGGAGGCAGAGAGAAGGGGAATGACATGCAGCAAAGGCCGTCCGATGCGGGACTTGAACCGGGGCCAACTGTAGCGAGGACTGTAGCCTCTACTGCTTAGACCACTACGCCACACGACGCCCCAGTGGGATGGTTTTTAAAGTTTTTAAACTGTGGACAGCTTAATTTAAACATTTCAACAAAACACTTGCATCTAAAAACTTATTAAAACACATATTAGAGGTAAATATCCTCTCTTAAAGAAATGCTACATGTTATAAAACATATGTATATAATGGCTGCATAGCTCTTGTGTTAATATAAAATCTTCAGATTTTATTTCATGAGAGCCAGTCAGCTACTTCTGGTGTTTCATTTAACTGAGATGGTGGTATAAAAGACAGAGAGAGCCAGCTGTTTTTCCAGCCAGCTGTGCCAGTTGTTTTTCCTAGCTGAAGGCTCTATAGAGACACAAACAGCACTCCACAGACTTTCCACACAGTGTTTAGTTTGTCACTAAGTCTCAGTCTCTGCCAAGCTGAAATGCAGTGCGTCTGAGTGGGAGTCAGTACATACGTATATTTCCCTGCATTTAGAACCAGGATCTTTTGCGTGCTGCATGCCTGATTACAGAGTGCTCTCGGTATTGGATGAGAACATTTTTTGCATTTAAGTCATACAAGAGCAGCACATGAAGTCTTCAAAGTGAGGATATGGGGGAAATAGAGATGTTGGAAAGGTGTACATTACAGACTAAAGAAAAAACTGACTAAATCTGACATAGTCCCTTCCAGGTACCTGTAGACAAGAATATCTGCCTCAACTTGTTTGCTACCTAAAACTGGAATTATGAGAGAGAACAACCAAAACGAGGAGCTCTGAATTAAAGCTCTGAAACTTTTCTCCATGTAGACATTTTTCCTTCCTGATTATGATTTGGTGATTGGAGGCTGTGTTGTCACTCACCCTGCCATTGACCTCGCCCCTCCACCAGCCATTGGCTCCTGACTTTGTGTAGATCTTAACCACGTCTCCCTCCTGCAGCGAGAGCTCCCGGGTGTCACGCGAACTGAAGTCATACCGTGCTATCGCCACACCAATCACTTTGGGAGTAAACACTGGAGAAGGAGAAAATCAGTGAACAAAGAGATGAGATTTACCTTATCCAAGTTTTATAATGAATTTAAAAACATCAGTTTCAGCATTAACACTTTCTCACATACATACATACACACATATATGGAGATGGCAAGTAGACACTAACATATGTGGTTAGTTAATAGTTTTAGAAACAAGATCTCAATAAATATGTTTACATGCACATTCATATTCCACTATCATTCCGAATATGACAATATTGGAATTTGATACAGATCATGTAAACAGCATATTCCATTTGGAGATTCTGAATCTGGCCCTTCCGAATTTTATATTTTCAGATTAAGTCATGTGGGACATGGTGATATTCTTGTTTTGGGAGCATTCTTTGAACATGTATACAGCACAGTTGGAATACGCATCTCAGTTGGGGTTTTTACGGCAGTTTCCAACACATGGCCTCTTGCCTGTTTAGCGTCAGCTCTGTGTATTGTACACAAACCAGCTTGCAAAGCTGGGGTACTAATGCATGCCTAAGGGAAAAGCCCACATTTCTGGACAGAAGGAGAAACGCACCTATTTTTAAACATTTTGAAAGACTTGGATATCAACAAGTTTTTGGATATGCACAATTTTTTCATTGTAATATTCATTGATATTCATTGTCATTAGCTGCGTAAACAGCTTAGAAGGAATATTGTCTTTTTTTTTCGAAATATGGGCAAAAAACATATTTTGTGCATGTAAACCGTGGTGATTGTTTCACTTGGAAATGGCCTGCTATCATTCCCATACTGTAGCTTCTAAAATAATTCAATATTCAAATGATTTTAACCAGTTACCTATAGGTCTTCACTTGTTCTTTCATGGAGATTAGCTGCTACTAAAATATTAACACCCAGTAGTTGCCATGGTTACTTGGCTAACGTCATTTAATTAACTAATGTTAGCTTGCTTATATGGCTGACACATTGGACCTGATACATGATAAATTGCTGTTTAATAATTATGTAAACTGAGAATAGATTTTCTATATTACATTGTACCAAAAAAATACAATAACCACCTTCAACTTGGGGAGCTACTCTGAACTGCATGAACACTACAAGGTCTAAAACACCCATTTCATGTAATCAAATGAGAATAGAAAGCCATACTTATAAAGGATCGGAAGTTAAGTGTACTATATTGTTCATAATTAAAATTGTATTTAGAAATACTGTAGCTCATGCAACCCAGTATATTTGGTCTAAAATAAGAGGAATTATATACATTATATTCTGTCTGTGCTCATACTATGTTCTACCTGTGTCTGATTATCTGGCCTCGAATGAAAAAGAGAAGTATGGCCCAGTTGCCACAGGGACTTGTAGTTGTGTAGTCCATAACTTTAGTTGAGATAGTGCAGCTAGAGTGTTCTGACAGCCCCGTGTGTGTGCGTGTAGACATTCTGTCGAGGAGACAGCGGTATGAGAGACAGACGTGGAGCAGGTTAGCTAGTTACCACTGCTCCATCCCACCCTGTCCGCTTTCTTCCTGCTGCAGACACTGACTGGTAAGTCAGACTGGGCTGAGCTGACAGCTGGAAATGGAATGTCAGACCTCTACAACCTGGCTGTGGGGGTAGAATATCTAGTATAGAGGAGATCTGTGTATTTGGACACGTCCACCTTTACTTTGACAGACAGACACACACAAGCACACACACCAAACTCTGCCACAAATGCCTCTGAAAACATTTCAAACACCACTCTTTTCTAAGCTGTGTCTGCCTCACACACTGGCATTTACATGCAAAAATGTACACACACACACACACACACACACACACACACACAACCTCACATAGAGTACATGCATTACTAAAATAAACAGCCCCTATTCTTCACACAGGATGACATGTATGTGCACAGAACTATGGAAGAGGTGAGATGGTACAATGGGAAGCTAGATGGCAGATAAAGGCAGAGATTCAGGCGATGATGTGAATGCACTGAGCTACAGCCAGCATGCTAAGCAGCCTTCAACATGAAAGGAAAGAGAAAGAAATACAGAGAAAAGGCAGAGAGAGAAGCGATACCTGTACCTGACCAGAAGGGAGCAGAGGAAGGAGGTACAAAGCTGTAGCCGGCAGGAGTTACAAAAGAGAGGCCGCAGAGCAATGGGGCTATGGCAGGGCGGGCCAGGCAGGGAGCGGAGAGATGCGAAAGGGGAGAGGCCAGGGATGGGGGGATGATAGGAGGAGAAAGAAGCAAAGGAGAAAAAATAAAACAGTTCTTTAAAAAATACCAACTCTGAGCTTTTTTTTTCAGAGATACAAAAGAACAGTCGCAGTTTGACAAAGAATAAATGACGACAGGCGCAGGAGGAGCTCTAGTGGCAGCTCTCCCACTGATGTTCAGTGGTTAATTAATCTGTACCCCACAAACTATTTACACTGATCAGCCTTATGTGGGCACTGTAGTTAGAAATCTATTTTTTCGCTCACAAATAAGGGTTAGGACCCCTGCTTTAAATGAAATTTCAATGCTTGTGTTTCACAAAAACTACAGCTATTGCTTTATGATTTAAGGTCAGGATTTCCAGTATTGAAAGACTATTACTTCAGTTGGTATGAAACAAAATCTGCTATTATTCATTTACAAAATACACTTGCAGGCAGGAGCAGTGCTGTAGTTAAAAAATAATGCTTGTGATAACATGTTAGTGATATCTCACAACATTTTTAATTCTCATTTTCATAAAACTTGAAAAAATACACAGTTTATGTTCTGGAGCTGGAAACTAAACTGAAAGACTAAACCTAGATTAAATGTCAAACACTGAAGGTCCAAACACATCCATGCCCCTGCTAGGTTTAGCTGAAACATGAAGTGATGACGAAGGGATGTCTGCATCAGTAATGGAGGGCGACATCTTCACTTGAGCATTTAATAGGGAGGAGCATGCAATGTACTCACAATTACAGCATAGGGAATAGATGTCTATTTGCATATTCATAAAGACAATCATCCAGCTGTAATACAGCCACAACTGCAGCTCCACATCTCCTTCACAAATTTCCTGACAGACTAACAGATCAGTGATGTCGCCTTATTTCATATTCTTTCATTACCGTACTTTCCAATGGTATCCTAATTGCTTTTATCTATAGTTTTGTCTGGATCTCACAATGCCAACAGTACAGATTTCTCTGCTTTAGAAAGTGTAACTGTACCTTTACCTTGCAAACAGCCTGAGAAATAACCCACCTCAGGCCCACGGCGTTTGTATTTCTCTCTGTCTTCCAGTATTTCTACTGGCAGAGACTGAAAGAAGCTACAGGCATTGATCCCGTTCCAGCAACGTCTTCGAGCTGGCAGAGTTAGTGCCTTGCTCTCGGGAACAGAACTTTCAACCCTGACAGTATTTGTACTTTAGTGTTTATGGATAAATTTGAGTTCATTGTTATTTTTATAAGTCAACACAGCAAATATGGCACAAGTACAGTCAGCAGAAAATGCTGATGCTAGACAGGTTTTTCTAGGTAGCAGTGTTAGTGAAGTAGAAACAGGCTTTGTGGTATAAATTGAATAACAGTAGCAGGCCTAATGGATGCCAATGAGTCTGTCTGAAAAAGTTTAACTGGGGTGAATGAAGCTGATGGAAACCTGATGTGGGAATGAATGTACTGCACTATCTATCACACAAAACACATTATAAAGAAAGATGTCAGAAATCAGGGAGATTAACTCTGGCTTCTTTCTGAAGTGGCTGTTGACATTTCCTGTTGGCAAGTCAATCAAACAACTACAAACACCCCATTCAAAAGTTCCTCAACCCACCCTTGCACAGAAGCCTGCACTTCAGCCACTGGGAATAGAAAATCCAATCCCCACAAAAGCAGATAAACGCTCAAACTTTTTGAAAAATTTGCCGCTCCCAACAATACTGTTGGCAAGTCAACAGGCCTGGGTTATTGATATGCTGTAATAGGAGCAGAGCTCCAGTGGTTTTTAAAATGAATACTAATCAGCGCACTGAGAGACAGCTCAGCAATCCCTAATGGTGTCTAGGTATGAGCAATATGAAGAGCGATCGCCTTCCACTTCAAACAGCCACCAAAACACCAGCTGCATTTTACATGCTTCATTTTTGCAAAATCTGATTTGTGGACCACACCAGAATACACAATGTGAGCTGGTTGACTAATATATGAGACTAAAGCCGGGTACACACACACACGTACACACACACACACATACACCAGAGTCCCACACATGCTGTTAGCCGAGACATTTATATATTCTTTTATATTTTGGGTTATCACTGGTATTGTTGCTATTGTAGTTTACATATTGGCTAAAAATGATCAATCAAACACTTCTGTCTTCTGCAAAACTGTCAACAAAACATGAAACAAAGCCTAAACATTAATTAGCTGTCCTCCAGCAGCGCTTGAGGAGGATGGAAATCAAAACAAAAGAGTCATTTAAAATTGAAAGAGAGAAAATGAAGTCTGCACACCAGGAGGAGGCTGCCTACAAGACACAGGACCACACCGGAACAAAACAGATTTGGATTGGAGCTGTCTCCACTTGTGTTGTGACGCAGAGTTTGAACAACAGGCCTCCCCTACGACAACCAAACAGCTCTTTACAATCTGTTCACATTCCTTCTGCTTGGCGCGTTCTCATCAGCAAGCCAGGACTTTTTTTCCCATTGCACACAGCAGCATAGAAGGTTCAAATGAAACCTCATTTTGCCACTGATTGTGATAAGTCATACATTTTCCATTTACCAACTGATGGGCGGTGTTGCTTTGCCTGGCTCACACACTGGGTTTAATACCTTTTGCTTCTGGCATTGCTTGAAACATTCAGCATGTGTGGATGTTATACAGGGCAAGCAGCACTTTCTGCTTCAGTTTTGGAGGTGGCAGACAATCAAATGTGAGTCTTTCAACCTCTCGGCAATTTTTCAAACTATTTCCCATGTGACATTATCAACCCAGCCAATAAAACAAAGAATAAACGTCATTAATTCTGAATATCTTTTCCCCAAAACAAACTTTGTACTGAAAAACTAAATTACACTAGAAAACCTACAGTTTGGTCACAGAAATGCCATCCCACACATGTTAAACTCCAGGTCAGAAAGATCTCAGTGGATGTTGTGTTCCCTCTCATTCAGCCCTGATAAATAACATCTTCTACCTGAATATTGAGAGGAATCAGGTTAGAAAGGGTAATGACTGACAGAGTCGCAGGGTTTAGAAGGAGCAGCAGCTGCATGCATAAATAGTCATCATTATGTTGCTCAAAGTGTTGGGTGACAACAGCTGCTTTGACTTGAGGTGTTGTCAGGTTTCTTCAGAACTGAACAAACAGCTCATTCTTACATAGATAAAAAAAAAAAAAAAAAAAATCACACAAAGCTCAGATGTTAATTCAGACAGTGCACCACAACATCCACGCCAACAAAGTTCTGCAACAACTTCCTCTATTACAAAAATATTTTGGGCTCCCTAAAGTGTAAAATGCTGTTTGAGGCAACATACTGCTGCTGAACTTCTGTTTTCAGTGTTAGTGATGGTTCAATAATACTGCATTTTTAATCTCTTATGATGTAATATTGGGCAGTTAATTTACAAAAAAATCAATAACTTTTTTTAAGTATGAATAAAAAAGTCTAAAAATAGTTGTAACATGTCCAGATGTCAATTATGCAGTAAAGGTTGCCTCTACATCAAATTTAAATCTTAATCACACGTTAGATGTGAAAAATAACTAATAATGGATGGTATTATTAGAATTTGCTGTAACATCCAGTAAGTGCAGTAAATAAGACTGTAAATCAGATTATAAATGGTCTTGACTTTGGCTAACTCACTCAAGGTTCAGATTATCTCACTCCCCTGAAACCCAAATTAATTTGATCTTCAGTAAACGTCCAGAGTGTGTTTATCAAATCTAATAACGTGCTTAGTGGATTCTCCAACCACCTTCTGACAGCTGAGTCAAAAACAATTAACATCAGTGGAGAATGAAGCGTTTTTAACAACAAATAGCTGTGCAGCTCTTTTAAGGCTGTGAAGACGCTCCCCAGTGAATTAAAGCAGAGTGAGAGTTGGGAAGGATGACAGATAAGAAAGCAGAAAAGGTGGCTGGAGAAATCAGCAGAGCCAGTAACTAACAGTAACAACATTTGTTGTTTCCAGCTTCTCCAATGTTATGATTTGCTACTTTTATCTGTTCTGAAAGTCTTCCAACATTTTAGATAAAATGGTTATCCCTAAATCAATAAAACAAATAATACATTATTTAATAATGAAAATAACCATTAGTTGTCATGGCCCAATTATAATAAAGTGACTCTAAAGGCACGGTCTAAAGTTTTCAGTTGCTCTTTAATTGATTTAGACTTGTGGCCATCTAAATCAGAAAACTAACCGTAACTGAGCAGTTCTATGAAAACCAAAGGGGACTAAAGTCATTTAAAAAATGATTTCACTGTCTTGCAGTTGCAGTGGCCAAAAGCTGTCTGTAATTTAGCTGAGATCACGACCAGCGGGAAGGATATGAGGACATCAGAGTCCAAACATATCATGAGCTTAAAACACACAAATATGGAATATAAAACTAGTTATGAAGGTCTCAGTATCTGCAGTGCAGGTGGAGTGCTTTTACTTAAAGAGTGCATCATGTTGGCAGGCTTTTTTTTTCTTGTTACGCACTGAGAAAAAAAAAGTTTTTAATCTTCTGTCTGTCATTTTTACATTAACAACTGTTGCACCAGACTTTTTAATCCAGTGATACTAGCTATCATTTGCTACCATCACTGCATAAAAAAGTCTATTGTGTTAATGGTGGATTGATTCTATTATTAGAAACTCTTCAGGTCTACTCACTGTTGCCACCCGACCGGTTGAGGCGGTGCACAGCAGCGTTCTCCGTTTCCCGGTAAGGAAACTGCAGCGTGGTGTCCAGACTCCTAAAACCTTCTCTCAGGGAGTGGTGTTTGTAGTATTCGATCAGCTCCTGGACACACACACACACACACACACACACACACACACACACACACACACACACACACACACACACACACACACACAAACAAACATAGATATAAATAGGTCAACAAAGTAATAAGATATGCAGTTAACTGTATTTGTGTTTACTGTGTGTCACATTTGTCCTGTTTGTAAAATGACACATTTCTAAATGTATTTTCAGCTTTTGAGACAGATGTGTAAATAGTACAGATATTACATGAATACACTCTCAAATCATGAAGAGTCTGCTTGAAAACTGAACCTTATTATTAGCACAGTACCTACTGCTTTTAACCTGCTGTAGATGTAAAAATGCTATGAACATAATGAAAGAAATGAAATGTTTCTAGGTTTGAGTTATTATACCTTTACATTAGACAGAGATTTTGATCAGGATAAAAATATGAATTGAAACTAAATGTTATAAAAAGTGTATGTACACACACTGATATTCAAATATTACACTCAAAAACATGTTTTTAGCTAATCTGAGATACAGAAAATCCAGTCCTGGCATAAATAAGATTGGCGAACCTTTCCAATATGCACTGGACTCATCTGTAATGCTGAAGCCCTCAGGCCAGTATAAACACATCTCTAATCATGGCTATTTTTGTGCACACAGCTAAAATAAAATTCAGGTTTTGACACTTCATTAAGCGAACACGATGATTTATTTATGAATTGCAGTGGTGGAATTTGAAAAATAAAACAGACTCACTAATATGCTTCTGAACTTCTTGTTCTCTGCGATGTAGAAACAGCCCTCCTTGGTCAGGATCTTTATGTGCTTCACGTCGTTGTTGTACCTGTGAGCCATTGAATAAGTTATGAGTGTAATTTCCCTCTCTGATCACCGCCATCGATCGGTGGCCGGCCCCTGGCCCCCGTGGAGCACACAGCAGTCGGTGTAATGCATAGAGTCCCAAAGGTGTGTGACACATGAATGATGGGTGGTCAGGAGAAAATGTGCGCATGTGTGTAAACCTCCCTACCCCACTCCAGGCCCCATACTTGAATTGCATTAAGAGCGTGGCTGATCAAGGTCTGGGGCTGGATGGGTAAAAGGCTGTGGTCAGAGTACAGAAATCATTCATTCACAAAGTTGATTTATAAGTAATTATCCAAAAGTGTACCAGTCAGCTACTTCCTGTCCTGTGTGAAAGATTCTTTATGTAAGTATCAAATTATTCTAATAGCCAAAATTAGACATTTTAAAATCCTTTACATATAGTGGCTTTAATCTTTCAGTGGAGATCTTCACGAACACACCCATGAAAATTCACTTCAAAGCTCCCACTCTCCCTCTGCAGGCTCTACCTGACCCAGTTACAATGAATACAGTTTGGACACCTGGCCTGACTCTGGTCCTGGGTCAGGTCTTGGTTATCAGGAGATGAGCTGGACTTAAGAAGCAATCCTGTCTCCTAGAAACTAAGTTTATATCCAACTCATTTGCAACAGAAAACACGTTTTGTAGGAAACATAATTACGACTGGAATATGTTTTCTATCAACGTCATGAGGAAATGTTATTCGTTTACATATTCACAAATATATTGATCAGTAAAATGTTCAGAGATGTGTTTGTTTTCCACCAGAATATCGATCATGCAGCACTAGAGTTGCTGATTTTAATGTTAAAGGAACAGTTTAACATTTTTGGAAAATATCCTCTCCTCCATTCACTTTCTTGCTGAGTGTTGAAAAGATTGATACCTCACATTGTATATGACGTTACAGCCAGCAGCTGGTTAGCTTAGCTTAGCATAAAGACTGGGGGAAGCTAGCATAGCTGTGTCCAAAGCCTACCAGCTCTTCTGAGCTCAGTAACAAGTTGTATTGTTTTTGTTTAAACTATTCAAAAACCAAACTGCAATAGTGACAAGTTGTGTTTTTTATGAGGGATTTTGCATCAGATCAGTGACGTCCATAAAAACACAAACTGGTTTTTCGTAGGGATTAAACAAATGAGATATAACATATTCATTAGTGAATTTAAAGATGCTGGTAGGTGGATTAAATGAGCATTTTTTCTAAAATGCTGAACTTTTCTCTTTGCTAAATAAAACAAAACGCAGACTTCCAGAAACTTATTTCAAGATTTTAAAATTTAGATAGTGTAAGGTTTAATGATTCAAAGAGTCAGATATGCTCTCTATTGTGTGTGGCTACACAGGAAGCTGCCTCCAGTTTGAGAAAGTTCAAGAAGTTCAAAGCCTAAGCTTATTTGTAAAGATCTTTGGTCCCTTGGCTATTTGGACACAATCATCAAACGTCTGCTTGCTCTGCTGAGAGGAACAGGCTAGATGGCATTTCCATTTGTGAATAATAATTTTTAAATGTTGTGCCCATAGCTACGAAGCTACTCTTTTGTACTCAGCTTCTCTCTTTCATGGGGAGGTTTTAATAACCCTGAACAGTCTTACAGTCGTCCTCTGCTCTGTTCAGAGCTCCACGTCTGTGTGTTGCCAGCAATTAAGACTTCAGCACAGAGGGAACCCGAAGGCACTGAAAGCGGTCCTTTCTGTGAGGTAAAAAGGATGCTGAAAAATAAGTTAAATGATGTTTAAAGGAGTGTTTCCATTGCTCACAGAAGCTTGCTTGCTCCTCATGGAGGAAAAGTGCTCCAGCTCAGAGACTTGAATGGTGTCTTTTCACTGCCTGCGTTTACACTGACGTCATTTATCTTGAGCACAGAGATAAGTCAAAAACATTGGTAGAGTCAATAGCACTGCAAGGTTCTGAAATCTACTTTGTTAATTCCTCATTGCCAAGATCAAAATGTCTGTATGCTTCTAATTATAAATTGCTAAGATTGTTTTTGTGGGTTCTGGGGTCAGAGAATAATGAATACTGTTACATGTGTCTTCTTTGAGATGCTGCCACATTACTAGCATCTGGTTTGGTCAGTTTCACACACATCACTGTAGTTAACCACAGACTCACCCTCAGAGGAAAAGCACCTCATCCTGCTAAGGAACTATAAATGAGTCGGTCGAATAGTGTCGTGTGGGATGTGTGGGAGTTACATCTGGTCAATACTGTGGTTTGGCTGAAGGCACCTGATGAGTCTAGCAGACTCTAGAGACTGTCATGTAAAGGAGGAACAATAAAGTCTGATGATAGTTGACAGCTGAACGCGAAGACAAGCAGATACTTCTCACCCCATAAATATCTCCATCTGAATTTTACTTGTCTTTTCTTTTCCTCTTAAGATTGTTTTTTTTTCACAAAATATAGCAACAGATCATGAACTGAAGTCGTTCAAACTAATAATCTCTAATAATGCTCAAAGGATTGCCATTTTCAAAGAGCACTCGTACTATGGATGAGCACACAGCACACACAAGTTAGTTTCATGAATGAGTTTGAATAACACTGACATCATTGACCGAGGCAGAATCTTTACTGAGTGGGGTGGTAGAAACAGCTGACTCACTTTATGCTGATGGCGTACTCTGTGAACTCTCTGCTGCGATGGCGGACCAGGTAGGTGCTATTGACCCTGTTGATGAGTTCTGCTTCTGCCTGGAGCCTCTCCATGGGCCCCGCAAACCTACAACCAGGCACACACAGGGAGCCTGACCACCTGAAATCTCATTATGGAACATTTCTTGGCTGATCACATTTGTCCTGTAAAATCTATGTGATAGATCTGTAATTTGCTTCCAGGTCATAGTAGAGCTTCAGAGCTTAATTGTTAAAGTTCAATACATAAATAATCCTGTCCCCCTGGAGCTGGTTTGGGTGATATGATCCTCAGTACATGTTAATTTACATCCGTATTTAATGAGTTTTCATCCAAGCCATCAAAAATCACTGTGAGCAAAGACTTTCACCTTCTTATTAAAAGACATTGTGAGTGAGGAGGCTGTTTGGTGAACATACCAAGGTTGAGAGGAGTAATCCACAGGCTTTGGGACCTGGAGCAAAGAGTACAAGTGGTCATGTGATATTGTTTTTGTTGTTATTTTAATCCAACATCAATATGACTTACTGCAATAAAGTCTTGTGCTTGGCTCTAGCTCTGCAGCACACTGTTTTCAAGTTGATGTTTTGCTCTCATATAGAGCAGGTGCTTTTACACTTGTACAACCTCAATAAAACAGCTAAATTCTCATCTTATCTTTACAACATTGTAGAAATGGTGATTACAGATAGGTCTTATATTCGCGAAGCAGCTGGCTAGAGTCTGAATTTCATTTTATCAAACTGAACATGACGAGCCAGTGGTGAAGAGATGGTATATATAAAAGGGAGAAGAAAAACAAGCACTTGATACATAGTTCACTCAGCAAAGAAACAAACCATTTCTCCTCTCAGCTCTCCTCTTTAGGAAGCTTGTTCCTCATAAGATATGCTTTTGTTCTTTGCTTCTTATTGAACTACCAGCATCTCACAAGACCAGCCAGGTTCCCTGTGCTCACAGCATGACACATTTTTTTTCTTCTCATGCCAGGTAAAAAGACTCACCCCCTCCTCAGAAATCCCTAGCCATTCCCACGTCACTGAGCTGGTAGTAAATTCATGTAGCCCACTACTAGCTGGTACTGAAGGCCCTAATGTAGCAAAGGAGTAGAAGGAAATGCTGCTTACACACGGGCACGGCTTCACGGCATCGCTTGGAAAGAAGCCAACCTCTTTCTTCGACAGGATTTTGCCCTGAAACCACAGAGAGATAATTGCATTATGTACATCTGGCTGACTCTGTCTCCATAATTCAGGAACAATTAGCTTGCAACACAGAGCAGAGCAAATTTACAGCCCTAGTTAACCATTGTTGAAATAATGGCTGGCAGGAACAGAGAAAGAGGACGACTTCCTTATTCCTCCCGTGGTGATGAGTCTTTAAGCTCAGCGTCTTGATTTATCAACACTGGGGAGGCTCAGTCCATATAAATAGGGGTTTTCTGGAGGCCATATTGTAGTTATCTCTTTCTGACTGAGGCTCAGGCGTTGTGGGCAGATGATGCTGTTTTTGTCTGTGAGCTGAGAAAATACTTGATTTATATGGGGCAATAATTCAGTCATGGATTCCATGGCTGCAAAATGACTTGTTTTGTGCATATGTATTGTTACAGTTCCGCCACAGAGGTGACTTGCCTATAAAGAGCTTTAACATCCATGTAAAATGACTGTTTTTGGTGTGTTATTAATATCTTGCGAGGGGAATTAAAAAACAGCAGTCTCTTAAGTAAACACTGCATTGAAATTTAATTTTAAACAGTTTGTTTCATTAAGGTTCCAGCTCTGAAATGCTATTGAGTATATTGGCCTGCTTTACAGTGCTGTATAAAAATGTCAAATGCACATATGTCACAATACATTTTTGTACGTGGTTGAGTGCAAATGTGCAGTGTTTGTACTCACAGTACATTGCTGTTGTTTCACAGCTAACATGCCCTGGCTTCACCTTTATGTCTAGAAACACTTTCCTCCACATGTTACGAGTTCTGGTCTAATGAAATTCAGTGGTGTGAATTTGCCGGATGTGTAAATGAGCATTATGTAAGACTATAGGGTCTGTAATTGACTGTCAACAACAGCGACTGTAAGTCATTAGTTACTATGTAACATAAGAAGAAGCAGTGTGTGAAATACATACATGTTGACCCACTGAAAACAATTACTCATCCCATATACATCAAAATAATAATTAATGACTAAAAATAATAATTAGTTTAAAAAATGGAAGAAGTTTGGTATTTTCTATAAAGAGCCCTGCATGAGTGCTGTTTGCAGTTCAGCACTGGAAACTGTCTGTAAATTATTAAGGTAACAGGTAGGTAGGTAGGTAGGTAAGTCGTGTATTAATAATATAGGACTCATGACCTGAGGCTAATCAAGTAGCCCATGATAGCTACCGTATGTAGTGGAACACAACCTAAGGAAGTATGAAAAAATGATAAAAATAAATTCACATAAATAAAAATGCACTGATTTGTGCCAATTATGATGGCAGAAAGAACACTGCATGCTTTCTAGCCATTAATTAGGGGATCCAAGACCCCTTGTATGTATCACACTAAGAACAAGTGTTACATTACAGGAATTGAGTGTTTTCAATCACAGCCACTTTGTCAGAGGCGTGAGTCGTGTGCCACCCGTCCATTTTAAGCCCATTTTGTTGGTTTTGTGGTCGTCACCCTTCACGTCCCTGCTACCTCCGGACATGTTATCTGTGCTTGTGGAAAGCAGCCCTTTCTGCTGCATCCTTGCTAAGAGTGTGATAATGATTATAGCTGGTAACATTGACAGAGTGAACAGATGGCTGCTGCTGAATGAAATGAAATTATGACGATCGATTCTATTTGTCACGCACCCCCAGAACAGAAATGATTATGGTCTGCTGGCTACAAAGGAGATGGATATTGAATGTTTGCTGACTGTGGGGCTTTCACTGCCTCCGGTTAAGCTGTTTTACAGGGTTAATTGAAATTTTTATCTATTTTATCTGTTTTGTATAAAGTACTGTGAGATTTGTTGGTTTCCTTATCACATGTCCGTTTACAGTACAACTTAGGTTTATGCCAATACAGGCCTCTGTTAAAATCTTAACACAATTATTATGATGACTTTCATTCTGTACACAACGATGCATCATATTTCCAGAAAACATCACATATCTCCTCCACCTGTGAGGATTACAGCACATGTTGTGTCACATAACAACAACCCTTGCATAAACAAACAAACAAACAAACAAACATTTCCAGAGTGTGGGTGTCTAGCTTCCTGATGAGAGGCATTGAGCTGTATATAATAGCCTGTGGGTGTACACAGGTTACAAAGAATTTTATTGTCACATGCAGCTTGTTATTGAGACCTTTCTAAATGGACTAAATCAGGGATACGAGCGAAAATTTTGTTGACCACACTTACACATATAAAATGAAAAGGGAAAAAAACACACTGACTATGTCTGATATGACTTATGAAGCAAAAGCAAAAACATCCTTCTAACACTATCATTAGAACAGGAGGTCAGGATGAGGGTTAGACAGAAATTAGAGGAAATGAGAGCTTTAAGTGTAGCAGCTCCATTTGTTAGTCATGTAAAATATGTGATGAAGACATAGTGTGAGCTCTGACCTGCCACCAGGGGCTGTGAAGGTCGGCGCAGATTAATTCGATGATGTCACCTGTCTGGATGCTGAGTGCTGGACCAGAAGTGGGGCTCGGCACACCAAAGTAGTTCCTGATTACCAGCATCTTGGGCAGACCTGCGAGAACAGGGAGACGGACAGGGTCAGAGCCTGCTTACTGTCTGTGAGCCTTTCTGTATTAAGAGTTAACAGTAAAACGCTTAGAATAGTGACAGTTATAAGAAAGCGTGAGCCACAAACTGGTCTTAACCACATTTACTGTAAACAGACCTAAACAGACCTTTTTTGTAATTATCTACTTATATTTCATGTTCCTTATTTTTGTGGGGTTTGAAATAAAGTGAGTTTATTCGAACTGAAAGCCTTTATTAGGGTGTTTTAAAGTCCAGAATGTAATCAACACTTCAACAAAGTCTCCTCTTTATACAGTGTGTGTGTGTGTGTGTGTGTGTGAGACTGCTGGTCTAAAGGCACATGTCTGTCATTCTAAAGATGCGCCTTTGCTCTACTAAACTATTCATGACCCAATTACAGGCAGTAATGAGAGGGAGTATACATGTGTTCACACAAACATACATACACACCCCTCGTCACCTGTGTGCTGCCCTTCATTTGGACTCATAACTCATTATCATATTACAGATAACCCGCCCTTATCTTTTATCTCGAGTCGTAGAGAAAAGATCAGCAGTACAGCTGCACAATGTGTTCAGGACCTCTAAGGGGGAATTTAAAAGGAAAATTCCATCAATTGATATTTAATGAAAACTTGTCCTAATCACATTCACAATAAAGAATTACAGTGAAACCCCTCTGCTGTTTTTAAGTGTAATATGTTTGGTAATTGTATTGTCTTTGGAGATACAGATTCTTGTTTACACTCAAGCTCTTAGGACTCATATGAGGACTAATGGGATGCTACTGCTCCACAGGTAACATATTACACAGTAGCATGGGTTTGCCCCACTACTAAAGGAAGTACATTTTAAACCAACTGAACTTGTTTGCTGGAATGACCTCGATCTGATTTACAACATCCCATTATTCACCAAGAAATCACTGAAATTGAATCGTAATACATCTGTTATGAAGCACCCACCCATGCCAAACAAATACTGGCTTCGTATCTCATATGCACAACATAATCAAATGAATTGTGCATATCTTTATCTGCAGTGCATGGTGATAGAGTTGTGCAGGAATACAATGAGAGAAAAAGAAATCCAGGTGAGAGCAAGAAGACAATGGTGAAGCTAAAACAAAATAATAGAGAAGTCAACAGCACTGTATTGAAAGCTAATACATCTATATGTGCCTTGCTTTTCTTTCAGGGTCTGTTCCAGCACTGTAGCACTGAGGCAGCCTGACGTGTGCTGGCTTGCCTGAATAGGACTTCTAAAGACACAGGGCCATGGAGAATTGAGTCTTGGGAGCATGAATTGCATTCCTATCCACACAAGGACAAGCCGTGTGTTAGTGCACCTTTGAAAACAGACAAAGAGAGCAGCGTCGAAATATTATGAAACGCCAAGCGCTGGGGCAATCAAATGCCTATTGATTTTAATGCGTCTTCAGTCAGAAATGATTTTCTGCAGCATAATGGATGGAGGGGCGGAGAAATTAGTGTTGAAGCCAGGTTTATGGGAGATTAAAGGCCTTTGGTGTGGTGTAGCCACACACACACACACACACACACACACACATACATACGGTCATGCTGTATGTTTGTCATATTCTCTTGGAGAAAGACTGAGAGACAGAAAGCAATAGAGGGAGAGAGGCAGGAATACAAAAGCTACATTTACTGCATTTCTACACACTCCAGGTAACTTACCTATTTTATGTGCTCTGCTTTTGGCTTCATTCAACTAAAACTGTTAACATGAGCCTTTCATAGTAACAGATTGCATCTCAGCTGCACTGATAAAACCAGTTAACAACTACCAGGTACGCCATTCTCTCCTACTACGCAAGGTTACCTCTGACACCGGGAAAAGAAAATATGACCCCATGACAGCTGCAATTCATGTAAACCTACAACATGATAGAGGAAAATGTAACACTTTTCCTGCTTGATCTTGTTCATATCAGGTATGTGCGCAGGGCTAATACACGAAATGTGCACAATCAGAGAAAACTGCATCTCATGAAAGTACCACAATAACAAGAGATGGATCTGATAACAATCCTGTTGCAAAGGTGTAAAGATGCAAAAGGTGTAGGACTAAGGCAAAATGTCAATCAAGAGATAATGAATGTCACTGTTTGACATCATTATAAAATGAACATTTTGTGTTTTGGACTCTTCAAAACAAAGCAAGCGATGTGAAGACATCACCTTCGAATGTGTGAGGGGCATCTTCACTAATTTTTAACAGTGTTAGTTGTGTTATTTAAAGCCCTAAAAGGATGTAATAGTTTAAAGTATTTTTGAGATCATTATAATTATAATATTTAGCTAATTAGACAGTTATGTAAAGTAACAAGAAAGAAGAAATGTAAAAGTGTTAAGTGTAAGAAAAAATACCAATTCCACAATTGGTCACATTTGGGACTTTTTTTTTGCAGGGGACAGTTTTTTAAAATGACACACAGTGTGCCAGGATAAAATGCCAGACTCGTAACTTGTCTTGGGAGCAGCAGTCTTACATTGACAACAAGAGAAAAGAGACAACAGAGGAGGAAGAGAGGATGAAGTGTACGTCTGGTGTGGTGTTGTGTTCTGAATTTCTCACCTGGATCTCGAGCTTTGCCCTGAAAAAATAAACAGAGAAAGTGACACTCAGACACATCAATGGGCATGCAGACACAAACACGTGTGCAGTGGCACACACAAATCACTGCCATGGAGAAAGTGCATGGCTTAAACATACCAAAACACAAGTCAGTGCAACCTCCAGGCTACTCTTCTAGCTCATATCCTACTAAATGAATTATTAGCCTGTTGCAGTGAAGTGAACATGTTCAAACACCCCTAATGCAGTGGATATACCACACACACAATTAATATTTTACCACCGGCCTGCGATCTCCAGTACACAGACCACATGCAGAGACACGACACGACAGAACATCTGAAAACTCACTGGCACTGTTTTTTTTAAACATTTTGGTGAGGATGGAGAACTGCATGTTTCTACACAGAATAGTACAATAGAATTGTACAACTGCTTCTACCAGTAACAACAATACAACACAATGTAATCATTCACACATTTTGTAAGCACTGCAGCAGAGCAGAACATGTTTCTGCAGTTTCACAAAAGTTTGGACTTTGCATTTTGAGTTTGTGTGTAGCACTTTTTACAGTACCTGACACCAAAAAAATAAATTCAGGGCAATAATGCAATATGGACACTTCTAAATTTTATCCCAGTTTTGTGTTTTTACTGTCGAGATGGAATTTTTGCATAAAAGTTTTACATACAGTGGTGTCAAAAAGTCACTGTGCATTGTGCAATTTCAGCCACAGTTACTGAAATAACACTTAAGTAAACTGTTGTTAGCCCAGTGTAATTTGCAGTTTGGGGATACTGTAGCTGTATACTGCACATCAGTTTCAGAAACAGCATACAGCTCAGGGTGAACCTGCAAAAACAGTCTCATTTCCGGCATCAGGTGGGCTGCAGCAAGTCAAGTCAATCGGAGTCAGAGTCTCTTTGGCAAATAGCTGCAGGAGAGAGCAGTTTTCAAAGTGCAGCAAAGCTTTGGAGAGGAGGCAAACAGAAGACACAGACAGACAGTACACACACACACACAAACACACACACACACACACACACACACCCACACACACACACACACACACACACCCACACACACACACACACACACACACCCACACACACACACACACACACACACCCACACACACACACACACACACACACATACACACACACAGCAGCAGCTCACCTGAGTTCTGACGGAGCCAGGATCTGAAAGAAGTTTGAGAACAGGCATAGTGAATGACGGGTTAGCGGGTGCACGCAAACACTTGCACAAACACTCCCTCATTAGTGGAGAAGGCGGACGCTCGTGTCTGACCGTGGTTCGCTTTGTTTTGCTGCGCTGCCACTACCTGACAGCAGGGATAGAGGAGGTAACGAGGCAGGGGGTGGAGAGGGAGGGGGGCAGACCTGAGGTTTTTGCTCCACCAGTTTCTTTCATTGGCTCCCTGAGGAACGGGTTACACCCCCTAGACACACACACACACACACACACACACACACTCCTGTACCTGTGCAAACAGAACAATTACAAAACCACACACATACCTGCGAAAAGTCACATCACACACACACACACTAGCTGCCAGAAAGCCACAAATATATGCACCATACCTACAGTACCTCTACACACACACACACACACACACACACACACACACACACACACACACACACACACACACACACACACACACACACAGCAGGCCTACTGTTCCTCAAGTGAACATTGACCTGTTACAAAAACACACAGCAAGGGAGCTGATAACAGAGACAAATGCAGGTAAACAATGGCTTATCTCTGACACACATGCACACACACACACACACACACACACACACACACACACACTTACATAAACCTATACTGTGATGCTGCTATAATGATGGTGGCTTTCTGAGCTTTAAACCAACAAAAAGAGGTGTAAACACAAAGGAAGTAACAAACAAAAATGTCAACTATTATACTCTCTTTGGATAAAAGCCAGTCAGTAAATATAAATGTAAATGTTGGCTACTTGGCCCTTTTTCAGAAATAATTGTACTTAAGTATGTTACTTAAATAGTCACCCCTCACACCTGCACATCTTCCTGTTCCTGCAGAGGATGAATACAGTGTGGAGAAACGAGTGGGGGAATTCAAACCGACATCCCGGTCTTAACAACTCCACACTCTCCTGCTGCCGGTGTCGCCCAAATCTACTCAGGTACACGCTGTGCCCAGGTGGGCCTGGCAGTGGTGTTATTGCCTCTGCGACCTGATAGCACCATGACAGATGCCAGGTCCAACAGGAGCTGGCAGCTTGCCATGGGGAATACAAGCACACACACGCAGCTGTGACACGCAGTGTTATAGTGTGGTATAGTGTATGCAGGTTGTAACAGTAAAACCAGCATGCTTGCTTTGGTTTTATCATTGTGCAGAATTTTAGTGCTGTATGACACAAGCATGCACTTTCAAGACCTAAAAGAACTTTCACAAACAAAAAGTGTGACTTTAGTTTTCTCACCTCCTCACGCTCTCTCTCTCAAACACACACACACACACACACACGCACGAACACACGCAGAGGACATGCGGAGCTGGTTTCTGAAGGCCCCTTTTTCATTCTACACATCTGAAGTTTTCCCTCCATTTCTTTCAGAACTGTCAGTGCTCCTGCACAGGGAGCTGAATGACAGATACACAACAGGGGCATAATAAAAAAGTCAGTAGTTTCTTAAAACTCCTCAGTAAAACTGCTATTAAGCTTTGGGGATCCGTGCAATGGTACAGAGTGACATTGCCTTTAAGGTGCTGTGAATTGTCAAAACCACCCAAGGAAGTGTGGGAGCGTGTGAATGAATATCTGCAATGCTGATCGAATACGTGGGTGACCTTGGTCTGCAGAAATAAGAGCACGTATTCAGTTCTTATCTATTTTGAGCAAACCCCCTGATTCCCACAGTTCCATTTTTTCCACTTCCTTTTTCAGAATGTCACTGTGCAGATTTTCTAAATCACAGCGCAACAAATCTCCCCCATACCCATAATAAGTCAGACACTCATACATTACGGTTTATGTACCATTATGTGTCATCTGTCATTATGTTCACACTGCCATAAAAGTGCAGTTGTGTTCATACAATTAGATTTAATGTCTCTCTGTGACAAACTGAAGTGCAGGATTGTTACAGACAGGATGAGGCTGTGTGTCATAACTTTGAAGACTGAACTGGGTGATATTTTTGTGTATAGCAGTGGTGTGTTACCTGTTTTCCCACAGCAGCCAAAGCGGCCAAGGCATTCTTTATGAGCACCTAGACCACACTTGGAGCACAGGTAGCCCTGGTTAAAGATGCCCCTGAAGACAGAACATGAGGAAAAATCAGGACAGTAGTGGCAATACATCAATACAGAGAACTGCAAAATTACTGCAAGGCTAATGGAAACGTACGGTTCAAAGCTGCATTTTGAGGGGCAGTCTAAAGATTTAGTGTTGTGCAGGGACGGTTTTAGCAGGATCACAGTTTGTAAACCTGATTTTAAGGTACTGTGTTTCAGTTTTTAGCCACATTAGTGGTATTGCCTTGACATTTTGTACAGACAGTCTTCATCACTGTGGTGATCCCCTGACTTCTTCTTTTGTCATCATGAGGTTGACATTTGTGGTTTAGACTGTAATGTCCAGACAATGACTGGGCGGATGGCTATGAAATTTGGCTATGTTGGCTATGACATTCTTGTCCCCTTCTGGGTGAATAATAATAACTTTTGTGATCCTTTAACATTTCATCTGTGGCTATCTAATTATTTTAGCTTCAGTGCAAATAAAGGTCCTAGACTGAATTCAAATCCAGGATGTTCCACCTTGGCAGCATTAGGACAGAATTCAACAGTTTCTATCAGAGCTTAATGGGTGTGGTAGGTGGGTGTTAATTCTAACAAGTTTTACTTTGAGCTATTCAAGACCAAAAAACTGTATCAGCTAATATCTAATAAATATTGCAAAGAAAAAAATTCTGGTATAAAATAATCAGGCACACACACACATCCACACAGAGCAGCAGTGTGTGGCTCTGTTTTTCATTTACACAACCATCTCAAAGGCCCTTATTAAAATGAAATGGAAAAAAAAAGGCTGCTTTGCTCTGCCCCCCTGCTAATTGTCTCTTTAACCTCTCTGAGAAAACTAGCATGGAGTTAACATGCTGGTATATTATTGTTTTTTTGTCCAGTTCAGAACTACGGTGTGTGTTGCATTGGAGGAAGGAGTCAGAAACCGTGCATTTGAATCATTGCAACCTACTGGGACACACCACTATTATAAAAATCACATGAATTAGTTGTAATATATGTCATAAGTTGTACATTTTCCTTAGCCATAATGCATTTTCACGCATGCAATGTCCTCATAACAGCAATATAGTACACAAGACAGGGTGTACACAGAAAATCATACCTTTCTTCCAAGAGATTTTTAAACTTTTACAACATAATTTCATACACAACTTAAAATCACCGGTAAGTCAACAGAGATCTAATGCCTGTTAGATAAGAGGTTGAGTTTCAGTTTCATTGTCCTTCAAGTGCTGCAGAAGTAGGAGAATAGCCGTAATGAAATAGTCCATATGAACAATGGCTACTCAAAGACAAACCTGAGAAATAATCAAGAAATTAGAAACAACCTGAAGAAGATAATGAAAAGTTGCACTGCTTTATTCTTGATTTTCTCAAATCTTATCCCCAGAAAATGCTGGTGAGCTCAGTGCCTGGCTGTGTATATTCACAGTGCAATAATCTTGTCCCCTTTCCCCATCCTTCGCCTTGAAGAAGTGCTGAAGTGTGACAGACATTTTTCTTCACCGTCCTCGTAGGTGAAACCACTCAATCGTTCCTGCTGTGAGAAGGACCATGAGGCACGGTCCTCTGGGTGTCGATACCATTCAGAAAATTCTAAAGAAACTTTGTGTAACTAAGGCACATGGGCAGAGGAAGAGAGGAGCGAAGGGAAAGTGACGAATAGATTGTCAGGGTACACTGGAGAGGAATAGGAGGAGCGGAGGGCTTTCAAAGGAGTCCTGACAGTTGCTTGAAGGGAAAGAGTCCACATCTCGTCCTCAGTCTTTATGTCTGACGACAGCCTTGAAGAGATTTTGAGCTTCTTCCTATGTGTGTGTGTGTGTGTGTGTGTGTGTGTGTGTGTGTGTTTGTGTGTGTGTTTGTGTGTGAGTAATAACTGGCCTCTTACCTCAGGAGCATGTGGCAGGAGTTACAGGAGGTGATTCGGTCAAAGGTGTGCATACGAAACTCATGGAAGTTGTTACTGGCATCCTCAGGACGAATGTTGGATCTAAACAAGACATAGCACACACCAAACATCGATCACTGAAAAATCTCAATCCAAAGCACAAACATTGATCATTTCAGGCATGGAAGTAAACAAACAAATAAAAGTACCAATCTTCCTTCTGACCTGGAAGCAATGCCAAGCATATTTCAGTGTACTAAGAAGAAACTGCACAAGTCTGATTGTTTTCACCATCCTGGTGAAAGAACGGCACCAAGAGCCTGAGTGCCTACCACCAGGAAAAACTCTGCCGATATACAAAGATCCTAAATATCAACAATCAGAGACCTGAAACGTCTGAAACACTCCAAACACTTTTAAAGGTCCCATATTGTATATAGTGAGATTTTCATGTCTTTTTTGATTATAAAACAGATCTAGGTTCTTTATTAATTAATATTAATACTGTGACATGATCAAAGTGCTCAGTCCACAGAGAAATGCACACGGCATGTATTCAGAAACTGAGCCTTAAAACAAGCCGTCAGGACTTCTGTAACTTTGTGATGTCACTACAAAGCAGTCACCTCTCTCAGCAATGTCCCAAGCCGGACCCACCCAGACCCCTATCCAACCTTGCAGGATTTGGTTTGTTTGTTTACCTGACATATTTTTATTCCATCACTCAGCCAATCAGAAGAGAGGCTTAAAGCATCAATTAATAACATATATATCAAATGAGGGTGCTCTGACATCCAGGATTTGAGAGAAAGCTGCCAAAAAGGTTTAGCATTCATGAACCATGATGTGTGAAAATCAAACCTGTCAAAAGAACAATGCAGATCTGCTTGTTTCTTGCATTAAATATTTGGCAGCTAAACTTCAAGTGTCAGAGTGTCCTTGAACGCACCAGAGTTTTCAACTTAGTATCTACCTGCATTACCATGTGATGAAATGATGATCAATCATGTTTATGGTAAGATAAGAAATGAAAGATTGTTACATGATGGTTCAGGTCAGCTCCATCATGTAAACACTGAAGGCTCCACACAATTAAATGTGCAAAGGGACATACTGTATCCAGGGCTCAACACTCAAAGTTATAACGTGCGGAGTTCTACACTACATTAACAGTTTGGGTTTACATCATTAGTTGGACCAAACTGTATAAGAAACACTGGTTGTCCAAATTAGCAAATGAAAATGAATTTGTTTTTGCTGTCCGCTTTGTTTCAGTGTTAAACAGCTTTGCTTTTTGCTAAAAATGTTAATTTCTAAGCAAAAAAGAAAAAACTAACTCTGACTTATAATTACAGCCAACAAACTTTTTCATGGCTACAGAAACATTTCACTGATACAGCTCTTTGAAGTGGGAGGGAGAGAATTGCAAGTAGACAGGCAAGGTCTGCTTGAAGTGAACACAAGAGGTGTTCATGGCCCCTTGGGACATGGATGCATATGTGTGTGTCTCTCTATGTGTGTGTGCATGTGTGCAAGAAAAAAAAAGAAAGAATGAATTCGCCCAAGTTTGCCTGTAGCACAACGGCGTGTTTATTTCAAATTTATAGAGGTCTTCCTTTGTTTTCAGTGCTGCAGTAGCGAGACATGATGACACCGTTACATAAGCTTTATGCTCAATATGCGCAGGTGCTACTTCTGAGAACGAGAAATAATTAGTCAAAGTGAAGGGCTACAACTCGGGAAAATAGGACCATCAAGGTAAAAGAGAAGAGAGCCTCAGTGGTGTCCTCTCCTCTGGAACTGGGGGTCAATCAATATATCTGCATTTAAGAAGAAAAAGGGTCCACTTTCACCATAATAAATCAAAAAATAATCACAATGAAAGATACTGGATATGTCGCTGTGGTGTGTTAAATAAAAAACAACCCTGAGCTTACTTTTTCTTTCTGTTTGAGAGTGACTGGCCTCGTCTAGGTTCACTTTGTGTATTGTTGGAGCGTTGACCGTCCACAGAGGCAGCCGCTTGAATTTTAAGGACTTAAAATTCAGAAATACAATGATATGACTTAATTTAAAGTTTTCTTCTGACCTTCAGGGAGGGAGCGTTCACTCACTGCTACTGAAGCAACAGTTTGTCTGGAGTTGAAATTTTCTCGCTTCCTGTATGCAGAGCAGCACCAGGCCCTCGTGGCTGCTGGATCGTAGTCAAGCAGCAAACAGCGGGTGGTTTGGAAATAAAGGTGGCACGTGAGAAAACAACTGTTCCCAGATCAGCTACTTGGAAGCACTGTGGGAGCAAGTGATTATTTGGCAATGCCTCTCTATTCTCGCAGGTTGTTAATTCAGACCCAAACGTAAATTGACCAAAGCTCCTGTTTTCTCAGTCTCTCATCACACCAAGCTTCATCTCTCTAATCCTCCTCTTCACTTCCTGTCAAAGCCTGCTGCTTTGAAAATTATTCACAGATTTATTTTCTATTCATTACTCTTTTTTTCCTAATTTTTATTTCTGTGTTTTCACTATAATTGCACCTGCTTGAGAGTCCCACTGCTCTTAACTAATTGTTGATGCCGAGGCTGGCAGTCAGGTGTCCAACAACCCTCTCAGGGCGGACTAAAGGAGACCCAGGAGGACTGGGAGGACTTTGGTTTCTGTCTCTAAGAAGATTTAAATCTGAAATCACTCCACTGACACACACTGAACACACTTCAATGGTGCTGATTATTGTTATTTTGGGTTTGGAGTTTGGTCTAAATGTTGTGTCTTAGGCTTTACATTAATATTTTGACCACGGAAAATGTAAATGATATTGACAGGATCGTAGCACAAAAATCTGCCCCCACTTACCTCTTCAATTTATCCATTGCCATGCCTGTATTAATAATCAGTACTAAAGTATTTTAAAGTACTTTCAAGTAGACTGTAAAGTTTGAGGTCTCAACATCTTTCTGAGTGTGTGAAGATTCACTGTGAGGTTTAACATTATTTCTCTCACGTTTTTTTTTTAGGTCTTTGTTACCTTGAGTGTAAGAAAAGGGTGAAAAGCCATCTAACTGTGGCTCCTGAACTCAGAAAAGACTAGTATATTTCATAGTAAAAGACCTCACAGGAATCATGTTTTATTTGCAGAATTAAGGTGATAAGTTTCCAACAAGTGCAGCTCAGACTGTTGCAACAGAGAAGCAGCAGAATAAAATGTTAAAAATCTAAAGGCACGAGAAAGCAGTCTGATTGGCTGGTCTTAATACAGAATTCATTTTAAATAATGATTCAGGTTTTTTTTCATCCGTAAAGCTCAAAACATGACAGTGAACTAATCATGTTTCAAAATGTATTATTTGTGTATTACAAGCTTCTTAACATTGTAAGAGTTTTGTACAAAATGTACAATGTACAATTAAACAGACTACTTGTAGATGTGCTGACGGTTTTAAATGACTTATACTAACACCTTTTTGAGCTCACTGTGCCTTCACATCCTGAGTAACATGAACAGATGGTGATGATGGAGGTGCAGCTGATTCACTCTCTGTGGCTGTTTCCCAAACTGAAGACAACGCATCTTCATTTATCAGCAGGGAAACTGTTATAATATTAGCTGGCCATGTTAGATACCCCTTTTAAATGATACTGAAATTCCGCTAGCAAGCTGTGTTCACAGGAACTTTTGTCTCAGCTGCTTTCCACATGATAGTTTGTTTTTTTCTCTTTCTGATTTAACTTTTTTTTTGAGTGACATGATGTTCATGAAGTCCTCACCACCAGCATCAGTGCAATTACCATGTTTGAATAGAAATTATTTTTTTCCATCCTAATTAACAGTAAGAAGGAAAAATTACAGATATAAACACTCTTTTAATTACAGGCTTTGAGAGGGCCCTCCCCATGCTGGGGCACTGGTACCTTAGTTCCACTATTTCCCTATTACAATGACCCTGGGTATTGACATTAAAGGATTAACCCAGCAATTTAGTATTGAATTTTCAAACTTTGGAAGAGCTGAGAGAGACATTTAAAAAATACTGGTCAGAAACCAACCAGCAGAGGCCAAGAAATCCTAACTTTTAGTCCCTTGCATGGGTCACGCAACTGTATCCTACATTTTCCATGATGCAAATTGTATCTTTTATTAGACCCTGATGCGCCTGGGTTAATGCACACATCTTTTAAACTCCACACCTCCAGTCTGCAGGCTTATTATTTTACACTTCATGAAGGTTCACACGTCAGATAAATAACCCGTGATAACTCGAGAAATAATGAAGCACAGATGTTTGTTTTTCTGTACAGATGAATGAGACCGCTTCAGACTCATCTGGGCATTAATGAGGTACTGACACAACAGGTCTATGCCTAAGCCTTCAATATTTAATTTCTCAAAAATGTTTTGAGCACAGATTTGTATTTTGTATGCACAAGGTGCACAAACAAACTAATTTTATTTCTATCCTGATCAAATGGGGTGCCGGACTAACAAAGGTGCAATGTTTGCACAAGGTTAGGTAGTGTCTGTTTAATTAGATCCCAATCTAATTAATGTTAAATGTGCAGGTACACGTGGTCAGGTATACAGAATAGGGACAGGCTGGACTGGTAACCATGTAGCTCGGCTTGTAACAGTCTATTCACCATGGACATTTGGAAACATTCACTTTGTTTAACTCAGTTCAGGTCCTTCTGTTATATTTCTACTGCCTACTCCAAAGAAGTTAGTGAAGTAAAAGATTTCCTGTTAGCAGAGGTAGGGAGCTCCGCCTTGTTGCCGCATGCCGCTTCTCCCAAATGAATTGTGCAGCTGCTGCACACGCACTCAGGAAACTCTACTGGACTCCAAAACGGTGATGTCCCTGTGAGTGCATGTATGTGTGAGTGGGTGTGTGGTAGGGTCACCTTCATTCCACACCAGCCCCAGTCAACTGCACACAGTGCAGAAAGTCCACTATATCGTGAATATTAATGAACCATGTGAAATTTCAGTAGCGACACTCAATGTATGTAGTGGAAACACTGTCATTATTGTGCAAGCTGCCTGTGTCTCTCTCCCTCAGATTCATGAGCTCTCCTTGGTCTGTATTAATAAAGTGATTCGAATTGCAGCTTTATTTCATGCTTTGCGATGGAGAAGAGTCCTGCCTAACTCCTGCCCCCTACTGTTCACCTAACTGTCCACATACTGTATCTTATACCCATTCATTGTTTATACACTTTTGTCCTATATCTTACAAATTGTGTTTTTGACTTCAGTAGCTATAGTAAGTTTGATATCCAACTATATCTGCTTCTATAGCTCTACACAAATGAAACTTTGCCCTGTATGTGCTGTCAGAGGCAGTAAGGTCTGTAGTGTAACGGAGGGATGATCAGTCACTGTTTGCTCTACAAAATACTAAAATTCCATTCGTCACTCTTGGCACTAATTTGTCACCTGAGGTGAATTTGGATCCAGTTCACGATGAGGACTGGGTGATTCACATTAACTGCACACATCTGATACTTAAATTAAATTTAACCAGGTGTGTTCTGTGTATAAAGTACTAGATTCTGTACACTTGAAATTTTACCTCCTCATGTGTGAGTTTGAAAGTTTATAAATATATATATATATACAGTATATACATGTATATATGTTGCAATGTGCCTTTTTCCATGTTAAAGTTAGTGCATCTCTTTATCTGCTCATCTTTGCGTCACGGTGTCGTGTGTCATAAATCATCATGTGGCTCGACCTGAAGAACAGGTGTTCGGTTACGTTTTGATGCTGTGACAAAATGTAGCTGACAGAAAGAGGCACACACTCTTATCACACTGTCGCGCAAGAACAGACACACACATACACAGAAAACACACACTCACATGGCCATGCCAAACTGCTCCAGCCACTTCTTTTTCAACTCTTTGGTCTTGAAGAAGAATTCAAAGCCACTCTGTCCCTGGTTGTGAGTGAGGTAGAATCCATAGGACCACTGCAACAGGAAAAAAAAAAACACACGTTTGAAACAGAAAGCACAACAACAGTGAATAAACAAACTGAGTGACGACAAACGGAGCAGGAGGTGGAAGGAGCTGAGCGAAAAAGGATGCAGAGAGACAGATGGAGACAAAGAGATGCAAAATGAAAGAGGGACGCCTCAGGGAGTGTAAACACAAAGGCTGAAGGGTTGGAGGGCGGCAGAACTGACAGACAGAGACAAAACAGAGAGGAAGAGCATGAAGGAGAAGAGGAAACGAGTGTGAGGTAGCTGTGCCATCGAACTGCCGGGCATCTGACAGCATGCACAGACCCAAGGAGTGAGTGGGCTTGTAATCACCCACCATCACCCACTTCAAAGCCTAAATATTAGTCTATTAGCCCCTGTGTCAACACATGCCTCTGTTTTTTCAATATCAAACAGATGCTAGTGAGACGTACTTTTTATGGCCCCTAGTTGTGGTTTTAAACTTCTAGCACTCAGCTCTGAAGGCTGAAAACATGCCAAGCTCACGGTGCTGTCAGGGAAGCAGAGCAGCTCATCTTTTCCACTGAGAGGAAAGAGAAAAGGAGAGCAGCACTCCACAGAGGCATTCCCAGTGGACACAGAGGCTTACGCTTAGCAAAGATATCGTCTAGCTACCAATTTGTACACAGGGAGGAAGTGTTTGTCTTTGTTTCTGTCAGTTCAGGTCTTTCTTGCCTAGATTATCTCTAGAATTTAGAAGGATCACAAATTCAGAGCGATAATGTAACATATTTATTTGCTGTTCTTCCCAAAATACAGTTTTATACGTCTTTCACCATGTGGGAACCTGGGTTATTTCAGAAAAATTATCAACATGAAGTCTGCAATAACTGGATTTTTGGCTACCTGGGAAAAGTTGAAACAATCTGTGAACACATCACATATTATCACCTTTTAAGTTAATGATAGTGAGCTTGTTGGCATACAGCTACTTATTTACACATCCAACAGACACTGAGCAACATTATCATTCACTTGGGGCTGTGGCTCTGGCCAATGTTCCCGGTCTTTAAGCTCTGCTTTTCGTGTCTACCAAACTCCTGAAGGAAATATCTGGCTGTTCAATTGCTAAATGCTCCACATGTTCACTAGGTAGTCACTAACATTGTGCATCTGCAGTCTGGTGTTGTGCAGATCTTGTAGATTATCTTTTTAATGCTTTTCTTTTAGCTGGAAACAGCAAAAAGGCTCTGTTGCAAAGGCTCAAACAGCTACAGCATGAAACTGGCTTCAGTATAATGACACCAGTCAGACAAAAGCTTCTTACTGCTGCATGGATGTGTCCATCACTTTAGAAACGATTTGGTTTTTTCCTCCAGGTGACTTGCATATAAATGTGATCACATTACTTCCTTGTATTTCTGCTGCCTTCAGACAGCTATTGTAATCTTTGGCATTTCCATAATAAATATGTCATCAAACAAACTGCATCATATCTATCATGTCAGAGGAGAGTGGTGGTGATTTGACAGCAACGTTAAAAAAAATAACTCTAACAGCCCATATGGGTCTAAGCCTACTAATGTCTGCTATTTACAACATCATTATTACCCAGATCATTGTTTCCTGGCACGCCTTAGGTATCATTCCTCATTATGATTGGCAATATTTTTCACCACTTGGCACTTAGTATTCACTGTGTGTGTTTGTGTGCGCCTCTGTCTGTGTATGTATGTGTGTGTGTGTGTGTGTGTGTGTGTGTCATCAGGCCCAACACAAGGTTTAATGATAACACCATCTGGGAGGAGGCAGACTGTTCTAGTCTGCCACTGTTTCAGTACGATGCTGGTAAATGAACAAGACAACGTAAAACATGTGCTAGAACAAGAATGCACCAAATTATTTAAGACTCTTTTCTGTTGATTACTTTGTTGTTTGTGTTGTGAGCCAGAAAAGTTTTGCACCTAGTTCATTATAGCAGCACATGAGAGGATGCGGAGCACAAAGGCAGCAGTGGGACGTAGAGGTTAGTACAGATGTTTATAAAATAAAGCAAGTCAAATCAATTTTTCTCTTTAATTTTATGACACTGCAGTTATGACAGATTGTTATGGCTGCTCATTATGCTGAAGTAGTGCTGTTAATTGGTTTGTCAGGAGTCCAACATGGTTTCTGAGCTTTGCTGACTCAGTCATAAAGAGGCAATAATGAACGCAACAGTGCAAGACTTCCCACCATTATAGCTGATTGGATGATATATGAGATGCTTGTTTTGTTGTTTTGATTTCACAGCATATTAATGAGTAAGTTCTGTTATCACTTTATCATATACTGTATATTATTTACTGTATTATATATTTATTATTATTATTTCATCACTTTGACATGCTGTATGTGATAAAGCAGACTCTGCTCACTACACCCCATTCTAATCCTATTACGATGGACTCCACACAGCAAAGAGCCCTGGGTGAAATGAAATGTCATCAAAAGCTGTTTTAGCTGTTAAAGACGCTGCCAATCACAGCCTGAAGTCGGTTATTGCTTTTTGATAATGGTGTTAACACACCATAAAATTAAAAGTTAACTGTTGAAGACATATTTTCTTTTTCAGTCAGTGAACTGACTCAACCTGTGAAATCAAAGCATCAGTGATGTAGGTAAAAACAATAAAATTAGAGGAGTGAATCTGTTTCCTCTCAGCTGAGATAATGTAGAGGTGATAACTATAAAAATAAACAATTTTAGAATTAATGCAACAATAATATTTTTTTTTTCAGTGGATTAAAATTGAAGGCCCATGTTTTCATTGTTGAAATGGACAAAGACAGAAAAATGTGTTTCAATATTTTGTGAAAATGTGAGTGATATACTGTCTGTGTCTGAGACTGGCAGTTTGGTTCCTTTTCAGCTTGGTTTAATTGAAGCTATTGTTTTTGCCTATCTGAGGTAAAACATCATCACTGTGGTCATGCCACAATTGGAATTGGGTTGTTCACAATGTTCACAAAGAAATGTGCTGCTGCCAAAAAACCAAAATGACTGTGCCAATATGTCACCTGGGAGACCTACTCATGTGCAGTCTGGGAGGATCCAGACGGAGATGTTCTACTATATTGACTTTCAATAATCTGACTTTCTAGACTCTGAATACTCTGGAAACACTCTGAGAATATACCGACTCTGTGTGCAGGAGACACTGCTAACAGTCTTTTTAAGAGTAAAGCTTTCCTACAGTGGTCACTTTGACCTGTAAAGACCAGGTGTAACCGACAAGAATTACTGATAATGGCTGCAGAGCTGCCAGCTCCAGGTCCCTTCACTGATGTAGCTTAATATAACAGACAGAGCAACATCTGTGAAGCTTCTGAGTTACCCAGGAAACAGCCATCAGCATCAAAGTTGTTAGTTACACCTGTTCTTTAAAGTCAAAATGTCTGCAGGGAAAAAAGCAAATTGTAGAGCTGAAGCAATTAGTAAATTCATCAAAAGAAAATTAATTTGCAGCTATTTTGGTATATGATTAATTGTCTTTTTTAAGCAAAAATTTGAAGAATTCACTGGTTCCAGATCCTCAAATTATGTGGTTTTCTTTAAACATAAAATCTTTTGGTTTTGGACAAAACAAGCAATTTCATTTTGTCATCTTGGGCTTTGGGAAATTATAATGTGCATTTTGTAAAAAATTTCAAACCAAACAATAATACAATGTGCAATATATGATGGCAAACTAAATATCTTTGTGTTTTGGGCTGTTGGTTGAATAAAATGAGCTATTTGGGTTGTAGGAAATTATAACAGGCATTTTTCTATTTTTAAGGTATTTTATAGACAAAATGACAAATAAATTGATCAAGTAAATAATTGGCAGAATAATTGATAATGATAATAAATGTAAGTCGCAGTCCTAATCTATTTGGCAGCTTTACAGAGATTTAACCACTGTTTCTTCCCAAAATGTATAACTGTAAGTGCACATAAATGTGCACTCAGGCAACAGACCATCAGATTAAACCCAGTCTAAAAACAGCAACAGTTACATTGCAATAACGGTTTGATCTGCGTGTGTGTGTGTGTGTGTGTGTGTGTGTGTGCAAACCTTTCGATTCTCCTTGTCCGACGTGGGGTTGTTGGTGACCTTGAAGAGGTGCAGGTCAATCACTTCTTTCATCTCGTAGTTGTCTCCCCGCCGCTTACAAACGATCACTGCAGCATCGAACAGGAAGATGTGCCTGCGGTTCCAACCACATAATGTCAAAGTCATTGAAAGCAAACATGATGCACCATGTTACTCTGGAAATCACTGTGTCACTAACATTGTTTTAGGTGCATCCTCTAAAACTTAAGGTTGCAATATGCATTTGTTCTGACACAGTAATGGCTATAAAACTGATTATTATATTATATCATTATATATCATGAGCCAGTTTTTGTCTGGAACTCTGTGTGGTCATAATTTAAAACCCTTGTTACCTGAAACTGGACTTTTAACAAGGTTTAGGACATTTTAAGTCTTATTCTGTGTGTCAGAAAACTCTGCTTCTCCAGTTCCAGTGCCAGCTTCACAGATATTTGCCTCAAGCTGAAGGCAGCTGTTTTAAGATACAGTCGACAGCTCATCAAGGTGGGTGACAAGTGTACGGCCAACAAAATCCTAGACAAGAAGGATGAGACTAACAATGCATTTTTTCTCTGATGAAAAAGTTGCAGTGCAGCTTCAGAAAGATAAACTTGTACCTGACACACAACAATGTTTGCAAATGTAGTTTAATTTATCAGTGAGATAACAAAAATTGCTACAAAATGTACAACTGGCTGGTTGTTATTCTGGACATCCTTCACAACAAGGACATCAGCTGACTGATTGTGATGTAATTCACAACACACTTTGGCCTGAAGTGACACACACTCGAGTAGTTTTCCAAGCACAGCACCTGATTCAAGTTAAACTGCCATCAGTCACTCAGTCATTTAGTCGACCAGCGTGTCATCCTGACATCTCACCTGTCCTGTTTAGCTCGTTTGTCTACCGAGGCCACCCGTACCTCCCCGTCACCTTTGGGTCTCCCGTAGTTACTCAGCGACTGATTCTACAGAAAAGGAGAAAATGAAAGACGGTGATCTCACAGCGATAAAAAACATTTGCGAAGTCATTATCTGGAAGAATGGTGTGGCTTACCAGGTTTTCGATGGATTTTTGATATTGATCTATTTCTCTCAACGTCTCATTGTCTCGCTTCACTTCGTTAACATACTGAGCCAAGTCCTGTAAACACATCCCAAAAACACAGTCTTTCCTTTTAGTGTAATTCCATTTAGATAAACACATATTTACCTTCAGAAGCTTTGAATTGCTATACATTACTTTGTTCATTACATGCTTAAGTGCAGCAGCAAGTACTTTTCTTTCATTTTTTTTTTTACCTACCACGTACACTATGATTTCCTCAGCTGTCCACAGAGAGGAACCCCTGTATTACTTAGTAGTACAATTTCTGCTTTTTTTCCTTTACATGCAAAGGTTTTCATTTGTTTTGTGTAGTTTTATCTTCTTCAAAAGTAACCATTGCTGATGTGCGCTTGCATATTCCAACTGTATATCACATGGGGCTACAGTGAAATAAAAACCCAACTTGACTAAAAACAAGGTTCTCAGCTTTCAACTGAAAAGCCTTTCAGAGTTATATATATATATATATATATATATATATGCTGCATTCAGTGGAAGATTCATTTATTTATATGTAGCTCAACTAAAATGACTAATGTTCACCTGTGAGGTATCACAGGTTTCTTAGCGGGCTGAGAGTGTTATCAGAGTGAAAATTAGAGCCCAACCGATACTGGATTTTTGGGACCGATGCTGATACGTATATTAGGGAGTAAAAAAATTCAGATATTGATATATCGGCCGATATATATATATAAAGACTTGTGAAAAAGATATGTAATGAAAGCAGAATATTTTACATTAAAGATGATAAACTTTATTGTCCAAAATTACATCAGTGCACTGAAATGGTAAACTTCACTGGGAATTAAATAAAATAACTATAAAAATAAATAACTATAAATAAAAAACATAAGAACAAATATGTATTTATAGTATATATATATATTTAACTTGAATAAAACCAAATGATACATAATATAATATACATAAAATGCTGTCTATATAACTCGACTTGATCTGAGCATTTCCACTGCATAATTGCTTCTTAATAAAAGTATTCATATCAGCACATATCGGAGGATATATACAATGATACTGATATATCTGTGATAGGCCAATATTGTCCAATAAAATCGGCCAACCAATATATCAGTTGGACTCCGGTGAAAATGACACAAATGTTAATGATTCTGGCTGTCATGGCTTATAATAAACGGCAGATAAATGAAAGATTGTCTCCATGCAAAAGTTATAGAGGTGGCCCTGCGATGGCCCTTCTGCTGGGAATGACTCCAGCTCTCAATGATGCTGAAGAGTGTGTGTAGAAATAAAATCAACTGGATAAGGTCCTGATGTACCTTTTTGGCTCAAAAATTATACTTTGTAAAATAAATCAGTTTTTTTTTTTTGTTTTTTTATTGGATCTCTATTTTCCCAAATGTCCCTCAGCTGTTTCACTTTTTGAAGAGAAAGGACAATGAAGCTCTGTTGTTGGATGCAGATATTGGGAATCTTGTTTTTCATGGCAACCTAAGAACAAACTTTTACACTTTACACATTGGTAAACCATCTGCATTATCCCACTGCTCCAATGCCTTTGGAAATATCTGCTGGGATACACACAAGACGTATACAAAGGTTATATTGTTGGTTGATATAAAATGTACCTTCATGGCGTCCAGAGCCATCCGCAGATTGCTCTTGTCTGTGACATCATGAGTGTGTTTCACCAGCTCCTATTGGACAGAACCAAATCACATACAAAATATAAGCGTTTCCTAAGGTAACACTTCTTTCATACTGAGCTGCACATGTTTTCTGCACTGTGATAATGCATTTTAATCCAAAGTATTTTATATAGTTTGAGGAGTACTGTATCAAACCAGAGCAGGATCGTGCCCTGACCTTAACCAAGAGTCTAAACAGAACCATAAAACAGTTTAATAATTCTCGAGTCACTACAAGTGGATTTTGTACTGCAAAATCAGATATACTAGTGGAAAATAAACACATTGTGAACATTTTACTGATCAACGTATTTGTAATTGGCAAATGTGTAAGTGAACATTTCCTCATTACATAAAAAAACCCAACACAATGACATTATATGTCCTTCAAAACATACTTGGTATTCCAAACTAGTTGCATATAGACAGTGACCGTATGTGAAGATGAATAGAAGGCTATCTGTCAATCACAGACAAACAACATGCATGAGCATTGTTACCCTGCTCCAACATACAGTGAGTCCACATCCCACACACATGAAAACTTAAAGCTGTGGCTCAAGATATGAAATGAAAGAAGGTGACTACGAAACGAATCCTGTCCTGAAGTAAATCAGATAGTGTGTGTGTTGTGTTGTGTGTGTGTGTTTGCACACTCATCTATTGCAGGTGTGTGTGTGCGCATGTGTATCTGAAATTGCTTGCCAATATCTGGCTGCAGCGTAAACAAGACATCTAGACCTCAGCACTGGAGGATAAGGAAGGATGCCATGCATGTCCTTCATACAGGTCCATACAAACATACACACAGAGTCCAATATACACAAATACACACTGAGGCGCTAAGGGAGATATATATGTCTGCTTGGCACTACTCAAATCCCTGGTGTCAGTCAAGCTCAACCTGGGCATTATTATCACTTGCAAGACGACAGAGTCCTATTTTTCCAGCCTCGCTCCCACCCCCACACATCCACAGAGATACAGAGGAAGGGAGTGGTCACGCTGATAGCTGGGCCATACACGATGGACTCGTCGAGGGAAACGTGTTGCTGTGGGTTCAGGGAGGGAAGAGAAATGATGAGCGGCAGTGAGGAAGAAAGAGGGAGAAAGATTGATGACAAAAAAAGACGCAAAGAAAGAAACGGCAAGAGAGAGGTTCTCGGGGAGCGAGAGAAAATGACAAGACATTAGTTGTACAGAGTCTGGCTGTCACCATGTGGGAATGTAACCCTGCAGATGCTTTATTCAGTGCAGCTAGCTATTACCCGGCTGTTCTGCAAGGATCTCGCCCCATGTTGACACAACAGAATCTCTTTGTTCCTACACTTCCTTTCTTTTGGTGGGACATTTGTGTTTAATGCAAACATTAGGGGGTAGGATCAGAGGGTTTCAGAGAGCCTAATTTAAGCCTTTTTATGGAAGACTCTGTCACAATCAGCTCATTTGCCTTGCCTCATCTGCCTTAACAAAGCAAGCAAATGCTGTGAAACTGTAAATGAAAGACCACAACACACATGGCTTCTACATCAAGGCATATTGTTCTATTAAACCTGCTGTGGACATGCATGCATCCCTCATTCATTAAAATTCACAGATAAAATATACAGCACACGCTCTGCTGCAAACCAAAGTTGTGCCTCACAAACAGGTGTAAATCTATGGAAGTAAAGAAAGGCCTTATTCATTTTTATTTTAAAACCAACTGAAAATTTAAAAACTACCCAATACTACTCTCTATCATTGAACCTGCAGAACTGAAATTTACTTTGAAAACCATCTATGGTATGTGAATGTGAGTGGTTTTAATTCCACTTTTTAAAATTTCCAGAGGATAATTTCAAGTTGTGAAATTTCACATAACTTTTTAATGCTTTTCAGAAATTCAGCTTGTAATGATTCAGTTTTGTATTTTTTATCTTATGTTTTTAGATACAAAAATGACCCATCTGAATCTGAGCAACTTGAATAGGATATGTTTTTTTTCTCATCTGAACTTGTGAACTCAACAAATGAATAACATTTAATTAAGTATTTAACACCTGCTTGAAATTACCTTTTGAATTTTTTTTTGGCTTCCAAATTAGACCTCCTGAATCACACCACCCTGCACTCATTGGTGGAAAATAAAATAAAATAGAGGCAGTGGTGTTCCTGTCACTTCCGCACCCACTTCTCACACACACACACACACACACACACACACACACACACACACACACACACAAATTACTGAACTGTATAAACACCACCTTCAACATGTGACTTATCCTGCGAGATGAGTGTATATTGTGTGTGTGTGTGTGTGTGAGTGTGTGTGTGTGTGTGTGTGTGTGCGCGCACGAGTGAGACTACAAAGATCAGCCATGCTTACGACACACACATACAAACGCATCATTCACTTAAGGTAGCTTTAGTTAAATTGAGCATACTTGTTCTATTTAACAACAATTTTAAATTCAAATTGAAATCATGAATACATCACAAATCTAAAATCAGAGAATTTTAAATGTAGCTGATTCTAGATTTATCACAATAGGCCATTAAAATGTGACACAAAGAGACACATTAGTAACTTCTCCCTCACTTTGTTTCAGCAGCCTCAGTGCAGCTCTACACTCTCAAAAATACTTCACCTCTCCGTCTCTCTCTCTCTCTCTTTAGCTGTTTGTCTTCTTCTGTCTGCTGCTCTCTCTTTCAGTCCCCACTTCACTTTATCTATTTTCTTTCTCCTCCTCCCTGATTGTCTCGATCAGATGACAATTATGTGTGGGTCATTTCGGACTGACGGTCATAAAGAAGCGACAGAAATAGACGAGAGGAGCTTCAGAGCCTGAAGGACAAAGGCAGAGGGAGGACTGAAACATGGACAACAGCGCCTCCGCTGCAGGTCTGGGGCAGTGACAGGAAGTCATCTCACTCATGAAGTCTGTCTGGCAATGATGGAGCCTTTAATGAACCAAAAACTCCCTGATGGGGCTCTGTCACTTACTGACAGTCATCTACAAAGACAGTGAAGACTTTTAAGTTTTGGTTTGTGTCCAGCTTTCATCATTTACAATGACAGTAACTGACATCACAAACAGATGACTTTTTGTGGAACTATATGGTGATAGATCAGCAGAGACAGCATATTACACAGCTGGTTATGCATAGTGGTGGATCCTTTTCTTAACTAAAAGAAGTAATACCACAGTACAGAAGTACAGTACAGTATTATCAGCAAAATATACTTAAAATATCAAAACTAAAAGTACTCATTATGCTGAATCACCCCTTGTTATATGTGATTTATTATTATGTATATGTTGGAATATTGGATTACTATTGCATTAACATGTAAGCGACTTTTCAGTGTTGAAGCTGATCGATGTGTAGCTGATTTGAACTACTTTATATCCTATTGGGTAGTTTAATCTATATCAGCATCATATTTTATTCACTGATTAAACATAGTATCACGTATGTGCTTGAGTAATAATACTCAGATACTTTCCATCAAAGGTTTTGTACTAAGATGCAGTGATGGCGGGTAGAGGTCATTTATATAGAGTAGACAATAGAAAAGACACCGCCACATGTTTATGTTTTCACCAAGAACCTGAAGTGGAGCGATCGACTGCACACACATTGCTATTAATGCACCATCAGAGGATGAATTTGTGCAAATACGTGATGCACAAATCCAACTTACTAAAATTGTGGCCTGGATCAACCCATGAGTCATTTATTCTAACAAACCACATGGTTGGGAACAGGCTACAAGTTGACAGGGTGCAAGATGAGTGGTTTCTTAATAAGTAATTAATGTTAAATTAATTTAAAATCAACTCCTCTGAGCGCATATGCCCCAAAATATCACATTGTCTTTAGAGAGTCATTACTCCTCAGTGGTTTGAGCTACAGACTTACTGTTTTTTTCCTCTTAAATAAGAGAATCCATGCTTTCTGACAAGCCCTTGTTATTTACTTCCATTAATGAACTAATGTGTAGAGTGTGTCAAAAATAGTGTATGGTGGATGTAAGTAGCATGTGAAATAAAACCAAATATTTTTCAATCATGAGAATGTGCATAATGCACAAGAAGAATACCCCATTCTGGTGCAAAACATGTCAGGATCCAACTACATTAACACCCTCCGCCACACTCTCCCACTTCGTTTGTTTTCTGTAATTATTTCGGTTTCATAGATCTGAATTTTTTGGTGCATATGCAGCTTCCCAGCTTTGTGCGTACGCCATGTTTCAGTATAAAGTCAACGCAAGGCCTTGTACATGAGGCTCCAGGAGTGCTGTTTGATTGACTGACTTCCTATGCATCTCAGCTTAAACTGTCCTTACCCCACATGCATAGTAGCCTTTTTTTTTTATAGCACAAACAGTTGAAAGCGTGATTTGTCATTTTGTAAATTTAAAATCTAGTATTAATATTACTGTAGCACTGTTCAAACTTGAAAAAACATGATGTTTTGCTCTTTATTCACATAAATACAGCAGAAAGACGTAAGAGAGATGAAAATATTAGAGCACTTTACCTGCAGGAGAAGGTGGTACTTCAAGACTCGCTGCATAGGAACCACCAGCAGATCTCTTAGTGTGAACTTGCCATAGTTGGCTCTCTTTGAACATTCCTGTACAGATATAGCAAATACAACAAATCAGTAGATTATCTTTTAAATTATATAGGTATATAGACCCATGAAGAAATTCAGTCAGTGACAGCATTTGTCCAGTTTCTCCTTAAAGACTCAGAGCTGTTTTTTCAGGGCTGACAGGACTATGAAGGAGCAAACTACTAAAGCTTCATTGGAAACTTTACATGATCTGCATTGCCTCAGGTCACCACCTGAGGGCGTTCTCTGACCACTCTGAGATGTTGAGAAATGAGCACTTGTCATTGTTGCAGTGAATTATAATTCATTGATAATTTCTAACAAACAAAGATGAAGCTTGTACCTCTAGCTTCATGCGTACGTCCTCTCTGTCTTTGCTGATGTTATCCAGAGTGGCGATGGCTGTCTCCACATGGCTGCAGTATTTCCCATAGATCAATAACCTGGAACAGATTTTTAAGTGAACAAACCAAGCAGGCAGACACATTGAACATAGCAAACAGCAAATTCTGAACAATTTAGCAGCACATTGCATTATATCGTATTATTCTTAACATGAACATGACATCACAAAATCCCTGCCAGCCTTGTACAATTTTCAAAACTCAAATTAGAGCAACAACAGGCAGTAAAATAAACCAAAATCAGGATTTAAAGTGAATACAAAGACAAATTACATAAAGTAAAAACTCAAATAGTCAGGCTAAGCTCTCCAATAAAAGAATGTTTTAAGAAGGGATTTAACAGATGTCATTGACTCGGCCAGCCTTATTTCCTCAGGCAGATCTGACTGCAAACACTCTGTCCCCTTTAGTTTTCAGCCGGGTCTCTGGACCAGATTAAAGGCCTCTGCCTGAGGATCTCAGACTACGCACTGGCTCATATGGCACTAAAAGGTCTGTGCTGGAACTGGGAGAAAGGCAGTGAAGAGGCTTAAGAGTGATCAATAAGATCTTAAAATCCCTTCTAAAACATAGTGAGAGAAAGTGTAAAGAAGCTGAAACAGGAGCGAAGTGGTCACGCCTCTCGGTCCTGGGTAAAAGCCTAGCAGCTGAGTTCTACACAGTCTGAAGCCGATCAATAGAGTTTGAGCAAAGACAAGTAACTGTATGTAGGCCTGTTTGAGGGGGTCATGGTTAGTGGAAGAGAATCAACAGAAAAGAAGGAGAGGTTATGAAGTGAATACTGCACCTCTCTTTGAAAGTGATGAAGATCTGGTAAAGGTTCTGGGCACTTCTGTGATGGACTGAGTCTTGGATTTCCAGTAGTAAACATTTGTGAACTTTAACCAGGTCCTGAAACACATCAGCAAACAATCATTAATATTTCATTCAGGTGCTCATACTAACAGAGGAAATTAATTAAAAACAAAAATGATTCCGGGAGGTAAATCCTTATCACATTAGCTTCATCTTAAGTTTAGAAATTACTTCTAAATTCTACTCATAAAGAGACTATGTCCTTTAGGAAGTGATCTTTTAATGTCAAAGATAAACTTGTGTTAATGTTCATATGCACACCTGACTATTATTTCAGACAGACTAGAAAGAATATGAACCTCTCCTTTAATCCACTAATTGTTTGGTCTATAAAATAATAAATGTCTTGTTTTGTATGAACAGATGTTCAAAACAAGCTCTACTTTCATCTGAAACTATGCATTAACTAAACATTATTAGTTAATGGTGAACCTGGACAACATACAGTATAACGACAAAGTTTTTTTTCCCTTAATCAGTGAAATGAATGCATATTTAAAGATGTATGAACAGCTGTGTTTCAGTTTGTGTATTAAAAATAGATTTTTTTTTTCACAGCCAGTAAACAAACAGTGACCCCCAGTTGACCAGCAAGTTGGATTATTACTACTCCAGCATGAGACAGTGACTTACCGGGATATTCACAAACACCTCCTCCATTTCAACCGTGGAGAAAAACGTGGTGAGGGGCGTCATAAAGTGCTGCAGAGGAAAGAAAGAGAGAATGCAAAAGAATGAGGCTCGTCCCTCTGGAGTGAGAGTGGGAAAGTCATTTTGCGAGAGGCCGTTATATTATAGGGGCCTAGTTGCAAAGAGCTGCAGTCAGCAAAAACAAGGAGGACTGTCTGGGTCACGACAATAATCTCATTTTCAGAGTTTGCAATTTAATGATTTCCTCTCAGAAACCTGCTGCCGCATAGTCACCTCTACATCTCAGAGGATCGGGCGAGCACAAACTAAATTCCACCATCCACTTCATATCGAAAGTCATCTACTGAGACACTCCGCTGGGAAATCAGGCAAGGTCTTTTTCCAGACGTGAGCATACACAAGAGGGCGAAGACAAGTAGCTGTGGCTGGGGGGGGCAAGAGCCGGCGAGCCTCCCACAGTCCTGTAAAAGTGCAGGATAAGGTGGAAAACATCCACGATAAAGGGGCTTTCCTCAGAGTTTTGGTCTTTTGGTGCAGTTTGTTCTAAGCAGTGCAGAGATCACTCATCACCTAACACTAATTCCAAAAATAAAAATTCATCCCTCCCCTCATTTCTCTGTGAGAGCCCAGATTTGTAACACTACTCATTATTTTTCCCATTACACCCAAAAGCTGGTGATTACAGCTTCTCATACTGCAGGTGATCAGGAGGCCACTGTTGTCATCATTTTACTGCATGAAATCAAACTTTTCTTTCCTTTCTGATCAACTGCAGTTGACTGTTGGCTCTCGTCAGCTCGGAGAATTAAGAATAATTTAGTCTCTGTCAGATATGGAGGGGAAATAACATTTTGACTAAGTAATTTGTATTTTTCCTAACACTGAAATTAGCTGCACAGTTATTATTGCGATGAGTAACATTGCTGATTGTCATTTCAACCAGCTCTGTTTGTTGGCACACAATTAATTGTCATTAGCTGAAAAAACACATCATGTTCCTAACTTCATTCAGAGTAGTTTTTGTAATGATATTAGTACTGTAGTCATTTAAAAAAAAATTCCTGCTTCTAAACACACCACACTCACACTGCAGATATATGTGCTGAGGACCCACTTGATCAAACAAATTCAGCAGGGGTGGGGACTAATTTATGGGGCTTTAAAATTAATCTGAAGGGTTGTGAGATAATTAGTGTGACAGGAAAAAATGAATATGAAAAAAATATGAAAAATATACTATTCTTCTGCTACACAAATAACTGTTTTTCTGACTTTTCTCATTGAAATGAACGGATCTGACAGAAACAGACCAGAACGCGCCCATGCTGTCTGTTAATAATAATAATAATAATAATAATAATAATAATAATCATCTTCATCTTCATCATCATCGTCATTTGTTGTGTAATTTCCTTGCACAGTAACATCTCACTGAATGAACTGTAATGAATTTAAAGAACGAACAACATGGCAGATGTAGTCAGGTGATGAATGTGTCTTATAGCTCAGCACCTGTTTTAGTATTTACGTGTTTGATAAATACAGGTGCTGTTATTACAGCATACGGCACTTTCACGTGTTCCCATGTGACATCAGTTGATAACAGGACAAAAAATCATCTACTGAAATAAATGAAAATAAGATTAGATTCATCTGTTGGTTCATCCACACAAGGAAATGTCCCACAGGTCAGTCAGTACCTTTTCTATAGACTCCAGGGTCTCAGTGTATTTCTCCTCTGTCTGCTTGATCTCTGTTAAACAGCAGCTCCTGATGTCGATCTCCGCCTGCTTGTGAAACGCCTACACACACACACACACACACACACACACAAACACACACACACACACACACAAAACACACACACACACACTCCTGTTACTATGTGTCAGCGCTGTGGGCTGACAAACTGTAGAGTCGTTAACCAGATGTTGTCAGTACAACCCTTTGAAAAAAGTCAGAGATTCACACACTCTGGTTGGATTGTCTACCAGCTGTGAGGTACCATCACGTTTTATGAAACAAAGCAGATATAATGTGCGTAAAAACACAATTACCTTCTGGAATTACTAAGTTAGAAAATTCAGAGCATCTGCAGGTTTCAATATGAGCAAGATAATATGTTCTTGTAAACTGTTTTTATTTTATGTGCAATTAAGGGAGAAGAAATATTGTAGAACAGTTTATTAAAAACATACAGTATATATATATATATATATAGAGAGAGAGAGAGAGAGAGAGAGAGAGAGAGACTTAATCAGCATTTCAAAGTCACAGATACTTTGAATTTGACATTTTAGAAAAATGCTTGATATATTTGATTTAAGCTTGATTTGCAAAAAAGCAAATATGCAAATTTCCCCAAATGTTGAACTTTCTTTAACTCAGGTATCAAACTGTTGACACCTGTATCAAGGAGCAGAGAGGAGGACTAACCGGAGGGGGGATGGCTTCAGTCTTCATCAGGTCCTCATAGATCTCCCCACCATCTCCATCATCATACACGCAGTCGTACAGATCCTCCTCATCCTCCACCTCGTTCTCACTGCAGCACACATGACAGAACACGTTAGTGACATTACATGGCCCCACGCCACTGTTTGATCACGAGTTTTACAGTGAGTCTCTTCAGGACAACCACACGAAAGCTTCACACAAAAACACACAAACCTCTGGTTTGACTGACATAGATTTTAATACTATGCTACAAATCGTGTTAGTCAGGGACAACATTTAATCCATAGCTGTGAAAGTGGCTCAGGAACACACACACAAGCAAAGACTTTTATGTGTAACGCCACAGGCCTTGTTCTGACTGCTCACATCTGAGCCAATTACTGTACCTTAGCAACTCTGCTAACATGACATGTCAGTGTGTGTGTGTGTGTGTGTGTGTGCGTACCATAGAACCAACTGTACCCCAAAGGAACACAGAATACGTGAAGGACCAAGTTTTGTGCGGTGCTTGGGTTTATTAGGGTGAGGAGTGGAGGGTGAGGTGAGGGTGAGGGTTGACCACTGACTGTGCAGGCAGGACAAAACTCCTGCATACGGACCCCGACACACACAAGTCTGAAAGGATGCCTCTGAACCATGTCCAGTATAAATAACAAAAGGCTGACGATATGAGGTTGGTAAGAAAATACTGCTGACTGTAAAAGGATCCAAATGTTCCTGGTAAAATATTTGCTCCACTGAGAGACAATCAGAAGAAAACTTCAACTCATTGGTTAGTATCTTTAAACGATATATTCATGCAGTATGGGAAACTGCACTTTTTACATATGGAGAATGTACGATTTGCGGCAAAGATGTACGATTTGCGGTGACTTACCAACCCCAGCCATCAAATATGAAACCACACAGCTGTTATTGTGAGGGTTGGAGTAGTTACAGCCTAGCAGCCGGTTTTGTTTGTTTACATTTCCAAAAGAGTGTGGTTTTTGTCTATATTATTCTTTTTTCCTTCGTCTCCCACCTCATGATCTCACAACGCGGAACAGGAGGGAGGTGTGACCTGAGGCCAGCATGTGAAACATCACAGATGCACATAAACCTTCAGTCGGTGTCAGAGGTGAGTCATTTTGAGAGTGAAAGCAGATTCTAAGCCTGTTTTCTGTTTTAACACTGGGGTTATCATTTTATATGTATTTATGTGCCTTTAAGCTTCATTCTGCTGCTCCTCTGTTGCAACAGATTCACTGATTCACTTTAGTTCTGTGAATAAAACATGAGTCCTGTCAGGTCTCATTTGACTGATAGATCATTTGATTTGATTGTTTGTTTATAGTGAATAACAGAGACAAATCTTACATGGTTACATGGCTTTCCAACTTTCTCTTATGCTCACTGGTCTGTTAATATGCAGTAGGAAATGACATTAAATAAAATTTCCACATTTAACAAAATTTCACAGGCTTCTATGGAGCATCAAGCTGCCACAATGCATGTACCCACTGATTTGATTTTCTCAGGACATCGAGAAGAAGTTTTAAGCTGATGACAGACTGAAGAGAGGCATGTCAGGTCATCTGAAGAATTTGCTCTTCATCTGATTCATCATCTTTGCTCTGTTAAACACATGATGAGCCTGAAAACGCTAATTTCATGTCATGATTTTTAGTGTTAGTTAGAGTTGAGACAGTCGGCTCAAAATGGACATGGATAAATTACACTGATAAATGGGAGAGAAGCTCTTCTCCTGGGTGGATAGGTGTGTTTCTGTACATGTTCTGTCCATTTAGCCATCACTGAGCAGATGGGAGCTGAGAGCTGAAGACAGCTCTGTTCAGTGTGATCCAAGCTGCCACTTCCATCGGCAGCTGGCTGCTGTCAGGCTGCTGGTTTCCTCTGTCACTGCTGACTCCTGAGCTGCTTCCCACTCTAGGAGCTGGCAGCACTAAACATAGACCAGAGCACCATGTCAAAGCAAGGCCTCCAAAACCTATTTGAACTGGAAGATTATCTCTCTCTGCTGACTTACATCACAACACAGCCTACAGTAACACTGTTCTTAAATCCAAGAAGTGACTTTTGACTCAGTGTAGGCTGCAATATACAAATATAAGCCTTATTAATCACAAGGCAGCAATGCTGGCTGACAGGAGGAAGAAGTTAACCTGAACGTCTGTCATGTTTTGGTGAGCAAATGCTATGAATAGATATTAGATTATTGGCAGATTCAGATTCAGTTTTTCATAGATGAAAAGCATGGCATCGTATCAAGAGTCCTTTTTGCAGTGTGGGAGGATTATGTAATGTTATGATTTAGCTCCTCGTCACTTTTTAAAGTAAATTAAGTGGATTATTTGTTGTTTTGATAAAATAAAAATATCACTCATAAGCTGGTTGGTTGTCATCATATGTTAAGCGAAAGGCACCAAGGTTAAGCACCCAACAAAGGTTAAATCAGGTTAATCTGATGCCCCAAGACAGGTTACTCAAGTTCAAACAGGGTTTAAATCAGCAACACTTTCATCAGTGTACAGGGAATAGGGTGTGAAAACATGATCAAGCCACAAGCCCACACAAACTTGTAGGTGACTAAGAAAAGAGGGGGACGAGTGCATGCTGGGAGCCTTGGAGGGGGTGGCTGTCTTTCAGTCAAGATCCAAGGAACAAATGTTGCTTGTGCCCACAAAAGCCTGTAGATTTTTAAGTGGCAGGGTAACGAAATTAACAAATAACTTTTTAAAAATGAAATTCTTTATGAAAACCCTGTAAGAGGGGAGTAGAGTAGAGTAGAGTAGAGGAGAGGAGAGGAGAGGAGACATACTCTATGAGATCCTCCAGGTGGTTGTAGATATCATCATCTTCAACACTTTCCTCTGTTGGAAAAGGCCTTTAAAGGGAAAACAGAAAGCATTTTGTGTTAGACCTTGTGTTATAACCTATAACCTGCCATAAGATACATGTTGTATTGTGTTATTGTGCTAATACTGCAACATAATGTGTCACATTTCATTGTTTATACAAAGATAATAATACAACATTTTTTCATCTGTCTTAAAAGATTACATTGTATTATGTTACTTCATGAAACACACCTGATTCCAGTCTGTTGTGCAATCACTGTGTGGGAAAGTTTAGAGAGTGTGTCCATAACCTGCAATGGAAAGAAGGATAGTTTTTATTTATCAATATATTTGACATTATCACAACATACACAGCCTGAAAAGCTGAGGAGACTTGTGACTGATATCAGTTTGTAAGTACAGTATGTGGCATTTCCAAGTGGAGTCACATGAGGGCAGCATTATCAAACACTCCAACACTTACTGACACACACTGTAACTGTATGTGTGTAATAACAGTCACGCAATGTTACATTCCAGAGATAACCAAGATGCAAAAGCCAAAATATATCATAAAATATAATAAATAATATATAATAATATCAGTATCCATTCGCTATGATTTAACATCCATAAACAAGTAAAAGGAAACAATGAGAGAGGTGTTGAATGAGAGGGGAACTGTGTTGTTGCTGTATAAGAACTCCCTCATCTGACACAGTCAACAGTTAGCAGTACGGTAACAGCAGGCCAGAGACACATGACCTGAACCGTCATCGATCGTGCTGTGGAGTAAACCGCGTGCCCTCGTGGGCTGACATGATTGCTATTAGTATGACAAGTAATTTCACGCTGCTGTGCTCAGTCCTGCCAGTGCCCTTGACTCTGCAAGAGTGCGTGTGACCTGCTTGACTAATCACAGCTGAACTCACCTGCTCAAGACGGCTTTATTACCTGAGTCAAAGCTCAGCAGGGAGCTCTGATCATTCACGTTTTGAAACCTGGCAAACAGCACATGAACCTCTTTTTGTGGGTCGTGTACTGTAATCACTGACATCGCACACGGACATGCGGGGGACAACATGCCTGCACTCTCACATTCACACAAACACTGATTTAACATAGATAACGTCTGCCCCGGAGTGTGAGCTCTCACAGATCAATACTGGTCACACAACTGGCATTTACCTTCCCCCACCAGTAAATAGAATAAACAGTAGCACACAAAGGACATGCAAAGCAGAGACATGGTTGTTTCTGCTGACATCCTTTCAACTCTAAACTCCACAGTACACCACTGGGACTAATAACGTGATGCACAGTGTCACTGATGTCAAATTCATGTTTGCCCAGTGTACAATGCTGAAGACTGATGGACTTAAACTGTTTTTCGCATCAGTATTAAAGGGGTCTCTACTGATAAGCAGACAAGTATCGATCAATAGCACGATGTGTAATCAATCAACCCACATAACATCCATCAAACAGAAGATGAAGGACAATGAATTTTCACGTGTGTCAAAGTCTGACTTTGGCGAGGCTTTTTTAAATTGCAGAGATCAGACACATCAGAGGCGGCGTCGCATTACTGACACCAGGAAACACAAATCAAAGCATCAAACTAAATCATCACAGAGAAATATTAGTGGTGAGCAGCTCAGCAGCGCTGGAGCTTCAGACCTACACATTTCAATCAGTATAGGAAATAAAAAATAATGATAAAATTTGTTATTGTGCTTCACTTCATAACACGACAACTCTATCCTATACCCTCAAGTGCCCAGATATCAAATACTTAATGAGAGCTAATAAATAATTCCACTTAGCTTGATTATCGACCGTGAATAAAACACAAATTGAATGTTTGTTTGTTTTTTGTTTCATTTTTGAAAAAAAAAATATGTCAAACTCTCTGCTGCTTCTTAAGCTTATTGCTTTGAGTTTTGGAGGCGACTTATATGAGCAACATTTTGATTCACTGGGATCTTCTCTTATCTGGATTATTGTGGCTGGACACTGAGAGACTGAATTCTACACTCATCTTTCAATTCTCAAACAAAACCTTTAGTTTCTTCAGAATGAGTGTCCCCTAAAGGAGTTCCATGAGTTGCTGCACATAATGGAAACTTTTTTTTTTCCATGATACATTAGAAACAAGAAGTAAAACTAGCACCTATAGAGTTTATTCAGAGCTGTCAAACACTCAGCCGAGCACAAGTTCAGGTCCTGAAGCCGGCGCCTGGAGGTTCAACCACCTGTGCTGTCAGCGTGCCCTTCAGCAAGCAGCGAGGAAGAGGGAAACACAGATTCAGACTTCTGGCAGTTTTTTTTAGCATAACTGTGGGGACTATTTGTGATCTTTTTGCACCACATTCATTCAGGGATTAGACAACTAAAAAATGCTTTTACAACATGTCAACCTTACATTAACTGTTACCTCAACATATACAGCATGTGCTGTTCAAAGCCTGTCGTTGTCAGTGCTGCAGTCCAAACACAGACACAGATGGATGCACTGAAAGTGACTCATCTTTTTACTGGGTGTATTCTCAGATATTTCACACAGAACCATCCTCCCTCCAATTATTAATCCTGACACAGTTGTTAGACAGAGTTGATGGTGCACTCTCTCCACTAATGAATGAAGGGCACGACATCCGGAGGCCAGTTGGCAGGTACAACATGTCCAAAAGCTGAGGATTCGCTGCGTGCTGAACAGAGATTTGGAGGTTTTCCAGTCGTAGCTGGCAGGCGTTTTTGGGGACGAGTCGTTTTGTGTTGTGCTTTTTGGCTTCAGTGAATACATTAGTCACACACATCCACAACAAAACTGACCATCTGCACACAGCCAAGAAGACTCAGATGTATTACATCCATCACCGGCCGCACCCCTAATAATAGAAATGTCAAGAAAATGTGCACAAAGGAAATGAGAGGTTGAAATTCCAAGAGGCAGTACACTTAATTTTAGCTGGAAAACTTCAGCAAAACAAAAATATCGATGATTACTACTGTTCTTAGAGCTGTGTTATGCAAGACTTTAAAAATACATCATGATTCAGCTGTCACAAGGACTCCAGAGCAAGACTGGTACAGTATCTGTTCTTCAAAGCTGCAGTGAGCAACTGTGTCATCAGCCAAAATCACAGACCGAGGCTGAAATAGCAAAAAGAGCCCAGTTGCAACATCTAAGAATCCACAGATCTGGTGTCCAGTGGGGTCCAGTGACAGAAAGCTGAGGTCAAAGGCTCAGCAGCCATGTCGAAGATAAGTGGTGATGCTGGAGGACTGAACCTGGTCTGTGATGGAGGCTAATAAACCTGTCTGACCACGGCTGCAGCGCTGCATCTAATGATTCACACCAGAGCAATTAAAGCAGGATGAGGGATGTGTCTGCCCAGATGAAAGGGAGACACAGTGTGTGTGTGTGCTGTGATTGTGTGTGTTCTGGTTAATGTCAGGAGCAATGTGTCTGCTTTCAGGTACCTATTTGTATACTGAGAGAAGGTCAAGGGAAAAAAATTCAGCTATTTAGATTTTCATCATCATAATTTCATACTTGGAAACACCTTTGACGTAGTAATTATATTGCAGGATGCTGAAACGCTTCGCTAAAATCATAGATAACAGACATAAAATCAGGTGCTCGCCATTATTGGACCGTGAACAACAGGTAAAGATGCAGAGATGACACAATTTAAGCTTCAAGAAGAGAATGGTTCTGCTATCAACATGCAAACCCACTGATTACCTCCTCGGTATTTATCCTTCACCATTTCTTATGGCAGAGGCCGGAAAATGGCTGGTGCATTTTAGATTTGTAACGTGGCAACGGTTTCACTGGTTTCACACACAACCCAGCGTGCTGTCCCAGTTTTCTGCACTCTGCTTTTACTCCTCCTTTCTCTGGCTCATTTTCTTTTCTCTCTTTTTTCTCCAAATCACTGATCACTGATTATCAGCTAAAAATAGAGATCAGTTAGGTAATCCAGCGGAACACATACATTTTTTGTGTTTAAAGACTCTGCCTTCCAAACCAAGAGAAGGAGCACTTCATTCCTGTTTACAAAATTGTAATTGAGGTCATCTACCCACTGACTGATTCCAAAATCAGTGCTGACATTGATGCATAACTGCTGTGGTTCACTGGAAAAACTTAACTGCAGCCTAAAAATGACTTTATAATCTAGTTAGAGGGGGGGTTGTGAATCTGAAATGAAATGCATTAAATGCTGTCATTTATAGCTACAACGCTGCTAATTGCTGCTTTTCTCAACAAAAAATAAAAATAAATAAAACATGGTCTTCTATAGAGATGTAGGTTTATGGAAAAATAAAAAAAATCAGGCAGGTCACATATCTGATCATTGCATCACTCCCCAGACACTTTGAAAACACACTCCTCCAGATTTCATATGAAGAGATGACATGAGACTGACCAGGGATCAGCTGTTTGGCGAACGCTGCCTTCGAGGTTTTCTCACCACCACATGTGAGATAAACCAGGAGGAAAACCCTCGAGGGGTTGATCCGACCACACCAAACACGCAGCTGTGAAAGGACCTTCAGACAGTGCTACCATCATCTGCAGCCTTCACTGTTACTTCAGAGGATTCTGCTGCTCGACTGCTTTAGAACTGTTATTTCAAAAATTGCAGTACTTACAGTGTTGGAGAGTCTTTACACCTTGCATGCTGTACTTGGAACAGTTTATGTTTACTGCTTTAGTTTGTTTTCTGCACATAGACCAGAGACTGTCTCTAAGAGGATGAGTTTGAGGGTGTAAAATTCAAAACGTTCCATTCTGTTTAACTTTGTTCCAAGAAACTAAAAGTTGTAATTTGGTTTTTGCTGTGGTTTGATGGGAGCCTGAAAACACCTACAGAAAATTATAAAGCCTTGTTGTAAGGCTTGTGCAAAATTGAAATTATTTTGCCAGATATTATGATATTAGTCATGATTTCAGCTGTATTGGTTATTTTCACATTTTATTTTCACTGAAAAAAATCTTAAAATGATGATGATCTTGGTGATGGTGATTTTTGTTGGGGCTTGTACCTAACAATCATGTTCCTTTATGTCTGGACAATACGATTTGTATGATGGAGGAATCTCTGTAGCACCATAATGCTTCATTTATGGTATGTTGTGACAAGTATTACCGTAATATTTCGATTAATTCAGTTCAGTCCTACTTGTTTTTGCCAGCAAATGTGTTTTTTTTTATTTCAAATATATTATATCAATCCACAAGTTGTTTTTCCACAAACCTTTTAATGCTTCTGCTGCTCATTTTTACAGGCAACACTTA